CCCCCAAAATATTTTGTTTTCCATAAAGCATTTCTTAAAGAACACAAGTTCTCTTATTAGTGAACTCACCTCTTTGGATGTATATCCTGGGACCAGCCTTGCCACACTGTCCCAGTTGATAGGCTGAGGAACCCCAATGAGGGAACACAGGATCATATCCAAAACCATTTGGTTGTTGTCATAGGGGAAGTTATTGTTTTCTGACAATCCACGACTCATCTTTGGCTACTTAAGCCTACAAGAGAAAGACTTATTAGCAACTCTCACTGCGTGGTTTGCTGAAGCTTGGGCTGTGTTACCTGCAGCACTTCAAAAATTCCTGGGGGAAGTCTTTACAGTCAAGTACTGAGGCTTTAGTTGACAAAACTGATGTATTCTCAAAACCCTGAGGGAGAAGCAGATGTGAAAAACACTCCAATCCCAACCCAAGAGCAGCAGGAATGACCTGCCTTTCCTCTGAGTTTTCTGTTTCCAGGTGGGATTCACACCACTGAGCCCTCCAATACAGCAGAGAGGCTTCCCAAAATCTCAGAGGCAGCCTAAGATATATTTAAAATTTGATCACATTCAAATAAAGTTCTCTCTCCTCCTAAATCTTCAGCTTCTCCTTTTGCTCTCAGCTTTGCTCTCCTCTTGCTCTGCCCACTTTTGTAGCACATCTGACTGCAGTTATGTGGCACCCAACCCAGGGCACCCAGCTGAGGGCCACCAATAATACTCTGGAGTCAGGAAACACAACACTTGGATATTATTCAACTCTCATCCCGAAGACCTGGCTTTTGAGTTGTCCTAAGGCACTCTTAAACCCTGATTAGCTGGGATTATCAGTTCCAAAAAACCCTTATTTTCCTTCAGCTTCAAGCTGAACACCAGAACAAAGCATATATGGACAGTATTAAACATCCTCAAAAAATCAGCTCTGCTATTTTGAAAGAAAAGCATATTTAGAGGTTTTTTTTTTTCTTTATCCAAATAGCAACAGTAAAACACAGTAAAAGCTCAAATTACTGTTTCAGCATGTGCTGGGAGAGAACTGCAGGCATTAACCAAGAGTTTCATGTTCAAGGATCAGCCAAAGAGCTTAGTAAGGATTCATACCTGGAAAGCCATTTGGACCTTTTCTGAAGTACCTTAAACAGATCACATAAATAACAGAACTCAAAAGCCACACACAAATTTTTGACTGACAAAACAAGTATTATAGAGAATTGGAAAGAAAATACACTGGGATAGTAGTAGATTTAAGGGATCACTTGTTACTAAAAGTACACTACACGTAGATGTTTCCTTTGCATCACCCACTTTCTAAAAGAAAAGATGCTTAAAACACACAAAATAGCCCTGATTTTGTTTCTGCCTCTAGAAGCTCTTTCAGCACTTCTTTTTCTTTGTTTGTTTTGTTGGTAGAAACAGAAATCACAATAGCAGGTGTAAGCTTTCATCCTCTAAAAAGAGCAGCTGAATTAAATCAGAAAGAAAAAACCCAGAACCTACCAAGAGAATTCTTGGGTTTCCTACAGAAAAAAAAAAAAAAGAGACATGAAACAGAAGACAATTTGACACAACAATTCTAACTAAATGAAATCTGCTGCAAAACACACCACATAGCCAGTTTTAAAGGACAAAACTCCTTCCCAGGTTACATGAGCCCAAACTTTCCAACCAAGATGGCACTCTGAGACAAAGGCAGATCATTCCCTGCAGTCACTGTGTCCTGATCCCTCACCCTGCTGTACTTCCAAGCGGTGTCACTGTGGTGATTCTGTGGTGGAGACTTCTCACCATCAGTGTGCAGACACACGTCAGTACCCATTATATTTAAGCCACGGAATATCTCCCATATCTGCTGTCAGGAGAAGAAATAACCAGGCCAGGCCAGGTCAGCACCAGTGGCAAACCTCCAGGGTTATAAAATACAAAGCTGACTTCTCGTGCTACTTCATGCAGCTGGTTTAAAAATATGTTTGGATGAGATAAGTCAATGCTGGAGCATTATAATCCCCTGGTCTCACACCGTAAAATAAGCTTAATGCGAGTAAAATTACCAGCAATGTCAATAATCCATGAATCACCATTCTGAGGACTAGTTCTATGGGATGATTACACTGGGAAAGCAAATAAAGAAAGGAAAAGCAGTTATTTTCCAACAGTTTTGAGTCTATAATTCACAGGGAAAAATTTTGAGTGCTTCACTGGTAACAAGTTTCCTCCACATCAGACCTGTGAGCATGAAGCAAGCCAGGCATGAAGGGATGACAGGTGCCCTAAAACGTGGTGACACCTTCACAGGGAATCAGCTCTTGGTCTCTCATATATTTTTATTTTATTTGCTTATTCTGCACATTAAAATACAGTTTTGTATATGCCTATTACTGCAAAGACAAATGAAAGAAGAGACTTAACTGCAAGTGTACAGAAGTTAAATATTTTTATTCATGTTCTGGAAAGGGCACAGGACTCCTCTTTGCGGCTTTATACTTGGTATTTAACATTTGCCTTTTTGGCCTCTAGGAAATCCTGTTGTAAATGCAGTTAAAGACACACGCAGGGTTCTGCCTCACGCAAGAACTGTAAGAGCAGCAGCAAAAAGCCTGTAATAAATCGTATTGTTACGAGAGAAAGCAACTTCTACAGATTCTCTCCGTCCCATTAATGCAAGGAAAGCTCAAGTTAACCCTTTCCTCAGCTGTGGAAGTGGGAGGGAAAACAGCTGCAGAATTATTTAACTCTGACCAACTCATTTCAGACGCACAATATAGAAAGACACACGGGAACGGGAATTTCTATTAATACTCAGAATTCTAAATAAAGCGGTGCGAAGGTTTCCTAAGAGTTAATTCATTATGCAGGAAGTTGCTTTGCATTACGGAAACGCACCGTCCCATGTAAGACCGACTTTTAAAAAAAAATTATTACTATTTAAAGCAAATAATTACTGTAAAAATGAAGAATTACTCCTCCTATGAGAATAACCTGGGGGAAGGTGAAGATGGTGGGACGGGCACGAGGTTCCATCCACAGCCCCGAAACGCAGCGAAGTGATGCTGCAGAATGAGGAACGACAGCAACTTTGCAGCTCGCCGAAATTAAAAACCGGAAGGTATTCAAACGAAAACAATAAAAGCCGGTCCCGGGGTCTAGACCCTACAAGTGCAGCAGCCTCCTCGTGCGACGCCCTCAGAGAGGGGACCCCCGACAGCCTCCCTGGGGCGCTACCCCGGGTTTACCTGGCGGCTCCCAGGCGCGGGGTTGGCGGGGCGGGACGGGACGGGACGAGACGCGGCTCCTCCTCAGGCCGTGACGGGGCGGCGGCTCCGCGGGGGAACGAGTGGGACGAGCGGGACCCGCGGGCTGCCGGTGCGGACCCACCGCGCCCTCGCCCGCCGGCACCGCCCTCACGGGGAGGGCGGGAGCGCCGTGAAGGGGGGGGGCGGTGCCCGCCAATTGGCGCCGGGCGGGCGACGAGGCCCCGCCCCCGGGCGGCGGGCGGAGCCAATGGGGCGGCGCGGGGCGCTCCCGCCCGCGGCGCGCGCCGGCCCCGCCTTTGCCGCAGTGCAGCGGCGGCGGCGGCGCCCCCTCGCGGCCCGCACGCGGCGTCCGGTCGCCCCGGCAACGCCCCGCCCCCCGCGCGACGTCACGATGACGTCACGGGAGCTGTGAGTCCGCCCCGTTTCGGTCCCGACCCAAGCGGGGAGGAGGGGCTCACAAGTGACGTCACGCGGCCCCTCATGACATAAGCACAGCGCATTAATCAAGCGGGAGCGCGTTAACCGCTCTGCACTGTGCCCACAAACTGAGGCCGAGCAAAGATAAGGAGCCTCAGCTTTACCTTTTCCCAGGTTTTCAGCTGATCTAAATGTTTGATGCGCTATTAACTATCACAGCAACGACTGAACATCGAACTCAGAGTTAATTACACAGAACAGCCCAACAAACGGGTGTGTTTTAGCAGTTATTCTGCTAAGGTCAGACAGTCCCAAACCTGTTATTTTGCCCACTGTTGGACTGTTCCCTACCCTATGTCGTCTACTGCATCAAATATTCCCAAACATTTCAAAGTTACTTCCCTTGGGAAGCCACCTGTGCCTGCTAAAGATCAGCACAATCCTACACAACAATCCTCCCCAGCCATGCCATGTAAGTTCTGTTCCTTCTGGGTATTTTTTGAAGAATAACCAATATTAACCATTTATCTTCCAAAAAGCCCACCCCTTAAGTCTGCAGTAACACAGTGAGGGCAGAGAATGCCAAAAAAAAGCACTGAAAAGTTCAGGAAAAAGGATTCCACCAATCCAGAGAAGGGTATGAAACCCAAATTCTCTAAGTCAGCCTGAAAGCTTCCCTTGGGTTTCAGTGAAAGCAGAAAACACTCATTTCATACCATCCCACAGCAATCCACAGAATAAGCTGGAATATTGCTGGACTATGATGACATTCAGTTATTTCATGATGAATGGAAACTTGATGGTATGTCAGAGAACTGGAACATGTTTTTTTAATTAAACCCCCCCACACACAAATTTTACTCACTTGCTGTTCTGGAGACTGTGCTGGATCAGTTAAAATAACTCAAAGGTCCTGGGACTGTCTTTTTGCATTTTTAATTTCCAAAGCAAAAAAACTCTAAAGATACTCTCTGACAACATAAATCCGTGTAGTAAAGTCTCAGAGTTTTGTGACTATTGTGAAATTTAGGGAATTTCAGTGGCTCAAAGCAGATAAAGATCCAGGGGTGCTCTGCACTGACATCATGCCTCTGCTACCAGTTAAGCCAGTTATACCAGTGCATTTGCTCCAAGGAGAGATTATCCAGCTGGTTAAAGGCTGTGTTCAGTGTGGCCACAGAACCCAGGAAAATTTTCACTGCAAACAGGCCAGATTTGTATTTGCTTTGTATTTATCTCAGTAGCAAATTTCACCGAGACAACAAAATAAATCAGAATGACCTTAATATCCCAGATGCAGCCCAATTCCACACAAAGAAGAGTTTTATGAAGCTGTGCAAAAGTGGGCAATTTATTAAGTTTTCCCAGACGAACAGAGTATTTTAAATTTATTACTCAGGAACCTTTTTGAGCATGTGTATGTTCATGTTCTGCTTGCACTCAGAACTGGCACCTGTAGCTCACAGTGTTCAAGCAGAAAGTGGTTGATAAACAGCATCAATAAGACTAAAGGAAGAATAAACTAAAACCTTATATAAAAAAATGTTCTGTTCCAGACTTTCAGGTCTGCTACAAGAATATAAGCAGTTCCAAAGAACAACATAAAGCTAACTTAGTATGTGCAGACCTCCAAAAAAAAAAAAAAGAGCTGATTGCCTAATGCAGAAGTTAAGCAATATTTCAACCTCTCTTTTCTGCTTTCCTCTTCCACACACTCCTGGTGCAGCCACACCTGCTCCTTTCAGTCTTCTCCCCTTCCTAAAGTTGGGTAAGTCTTGAGCAGCCTGTCCACCAGCCTTCCTTTTCCACTCAGGGTTCATTTAGGTGGTTTTTTTCTGTGGCCTGACACATGGACAAAAACAGACAATGAATTGTAGGACTCACTTTTTTTTTTTTAACCTGATACTACTTTGTGCATTAAAAAAAAGAAAACCAAAACCTTAAAGGACAGTATATACTTTACTTCAGTAAACTTTAATACCCTCCTGCAATCAGTACAATTAATTGGGAGTAAAATAAGTAACTTAATTTCCTTAGAGCCTCTTTTTCCAATGAAAGTAATTGCAAGATTGAAAGGACTAAAATTCCTGTTGAGATTTAACAGATACAATGATGACAGTTAGTGACTGGTAGGTTAAGTCAAACTACTGTAAGGAAAAGTCAGTTAAGTTTTGAATAATCCATGTTCCTACTAAAATAACTGTTTTCAATAGTATGACCTGAAAGAGAAATTAAATTCATCTTACTAAAAATCAGTAAGATTTAAACATTCCCACAAACATCCATCATGGCACTGTCTTCATCTTGTTGTGAGCCAGAAAACAGAAAAACAAAAAAAATCTACTTAAATGGATACTCTACAATAAAAAAGTTAGGGGTTTATTTATTAATTTATTTAAAGACTCTTCCTCTGAATGAAATCTTTCACTGACACAAGAGAGGCTGACAGTCCATTAATTAAACCTCATACAGCAAATTAATTCCCTCCAGGGATACACACTGCAAACAGAACTGAACTCTTTCTACTCCTTCCCCCCCTTTTTCCTCTCTAGATTTTACATTTCAGAATTTTTTCTGCTGTTTTCACTGCAACAGCAGATAGGATTTCCAAATATGGATAATTTTCTTCTATGCCTGGTACATAGGGAAACATCTCAGGACCATGTTCTGTTTTAGGCCTATTAAAACTAGTTCCAAGTTTCTCACTTGCCCTTTAACTACTCTGCACCTGAAAATCTAAAAATTTAGTATAAATTATTCAAATCACCATCTCCCAATACCTGAGCACAACCACTTAAAATTCTTGCTCTACCAACAACAGGCATTCAGAGATTACTTTAAAAATCCAAGGTTCCAGCATGATATCTGTCTTTTCAGCCACTCTACCTCATGAAAATTGTGCTCACTTCAGAGTTTTGTTGTGGTGAGCAGACTTCTACAAACTCAAGGCCAGCAAATGCAATCAAAACTGAAAGCTTTGCTAACACATAATGGGTGTGGAAGATCTCAGTAGGTCAAACTGGAACTACTCAAAGGTATGTTCCCTACTTATACTTTTGAGAACCTTTAACTAAAAAAGCTATTTTAATGATTAAGACAAACTCGAGTTATTTAATCCATTGATGTGACCTTCAGAAGTTCAACATGTAATACATCCATACTACGAGGAAAAATGTTTTAATTACCTTTGCTTCATTTAACAAAAAAAAAAAATAACAGAATGGTATTTCAGGACAGAATTCTCAAACACCAATATGAAGAAAATACTAAATACTCTGAACAGTCTGAATATTTTTATGGCTTTTGATAAACTGGAGCCCTCAAATGTTATGGGCAGATGCAAAATTTACCACCTGAAAGGCAGCACAGGGAGTTTGTCCAACTCCAAGACCTTCCTTTGCCGAGATAATTAAGCAAGAAATGTTACTTTTTCTTTGCTGCTCCAATTCCTTTCAACTTCCCCCAAAGCAATGCTTTCCTTCTGCACTAAAAGGCAGGAGAGGTATTTTGACATTCATATAAAACCAATGAAGAGCAGAAATAAGTGGAGATGCAGGTGGTGGACTATGGATGGGCAGCTAACAGGCTACAACACAAAATGGCCAAGTGTGATGCAAAGTTAGTTCATCACAGAAGGGAGTGACAACTAATAAGTGCCTGACTGCAGAATACCCTTTATTCAAATTCCTTTTAATAAACAAAATAGAACTGCTTAGAACTACTGGTGAAGCCTCACTGCTCTTCCCCTGTAAACTCGTTTCTCCTCCCTTCCTCACAAATCCCTTTTTTCTAAGAGCTGAACTCTTTATGACAGTAATTTAAAACTTGTAACCATTCAATTGGGTCTCCTAAATCTCTTGCAGTTCTCCCACCTTTCAGAGGGAAACAATGTGCCATTACTTTTGCACAGCCCTCAGTGTGCAGTTTTGGAGGACACCTCACAGAAATGAATCTTCCCTTTGCACATCCATTGAAGGGGCCTCCTGTCAAGCCAATACTCTAATGGGGACTGGGTGTTAATCCCCCATTTCACCAACAGTTTGTCTCTTTAACAGGGCAGTCCCTATTGTTTTCCTTTGTTTGCTTTGTTATAAATGCTTCAACCCTCCTTATCTCAAGCTCTCAGGAGTGGCTGCCAGGTGGTTGGACAGAATCACTAATGTACAGCCTCAGATGAGTCAAAAATAAATAGTACAGATTGGAGCAATCACTTCTCCACCCCTTCACCAGCCAGTAGCAGCAATCACTGGTGCGTGCCCATCAGTGTTCCACTACAAACCACATTTCCAGCAGTCCCTAAAGTTGCATCAGTAAAGCACAGTTCAGTTGCTTTGTTGATCAAAGTGCATCAGAGTTCCTGTTTCTCTCCACTGCCCACAGCGGAGTCGGATGCAACGGGAACTTTATTACTGCCAGCAAAAACAGTTTCAAAAGCAGCTTCCTGCTCCTCCAAAGTCACAGCAGCAGTGGCTCCTCCACCAGGTGTGCTGGGAAAGGCTGGACGTTGCTCAGGAATCTTTTCCAGGTCCACTGTTCTCCTACCTCTTCTTTTGCCCAGGATTTTGATGTAATTAGCTGGCACAAGTCCTGTTGTTTGGCCATCATAACTGGCCAGGAGCCAACCACGGATTTTGGGTTGCTGTTCTGAAGGAGAAAATGCAAAAGCATCAAGTTGCAAAACAATTCGATGACACTGAACAAAACTACTCAGAAAGTTTTATTCCAATGCAAATAATAACTTAGTGGGGGGGGGAAAAATCAGTATTTGGTCAAATAAGGTGGTTTTGGTCTTTTAGTTTTAATTTTCAGACTCTAACACTATAACTTCATTATGATTAGAAAATAAACAGAAATAAACAGAAAAATACTTTAGAAAAAATAAAAATTAAAAGTTTACCTTTGGGTGCTAATTTTAGCATGTCACCAGCACGGAAAGAAATTTCTTCTTCTGAGAGAGCATTGAAATCATATTCTGCTCTTCCAACTACGTGGTCATCTTCTCCACTAGCCCAGTTACTGGACACTGTTTGCAAACATACATTAAAAGTTTATCTGCTTTGAATGACAAAGTTTGGCGTGTCTTTTTAAAACAAAATGAAGAAAACACTTTAACCTCCTTGCTAAAACTTTTCTGGCAGAGAACTGACAGGAGTAACAAGCAAAGCACGACTTGTTGAGTTAATCCAAGCAATACACCCCAAACTGCTACATCTACTAGGAAGGAACCATGATTTTGGAATCACACACAGCTTAAATACAATGTTAACTCAACAACAGGCTGTCACTTGTATCACATGCCTAAAATTCAGCATTGTGTCCCAGTATCTACCAACTGCTATTACTATTGTGTAGATTAATCACCACACAGACAACAGTGAAAGGAACAAAGAACTCTCGTTCTGCAGATCATCTTTACCTGTTTCTTCATCACTGTATGTAGAAAGCAGCTTCCAAATCAGGTAGGGCCCTCCCATTATAACAGCAAAGAACAGGAAAATGGGCCAGGACTTTGCAGAGTTTCCCATCTTGTCTTCAAGGCCGACACGAGCCACTTTGCCCTCACTCTCAGCCCACAAATCCTCGTTCTCAGAGCTGTTCCTCAGCCCCAGCAGCCGCTGCAGCCGTTGGTAGAGGTACCTTATAGTTCTCACCAAAGCAAAAGCCGAAAACACCTTGGTGAAGTGGATTTTGAGGCGGGAGAAGTGGTTGGCCACGTCCAGCACAGCCCTGAAGCTGTTGTAGACAGCTGAGAAGGTGGCATCCATCATCATGCTGACCGAGGCAAAGGCATGCACGATGCTCTCGATGGACTGGAAAGCCCCCCTGCTGCTCTCCTCAGCCTGCTGCACAAACCTGCTGGGGGGAAGGCCATCGGCACAGAACCGGTTATACCCCAGCCCACCGTATCCGTAGCTGTAAGGGCTGTAGCTTCCATAGAAAGAGGTTCCATATGAACCATAGGCTGGAGAGAAAGAACCACTATAAGCTGGCCTGAAGGTGCTCAGACTGCTGCTTCCTGTTTGCTGGGATGGTCTTGGCAAAATGGGTGGAGGTATCCGTGCCACGGCGGGTTGTCCGGGTCTGGTCAGCATGTTGTCACCCAAGTCAGCAGACCTAAAAAAAATTCCAACAAGGAAGATCAGTACCCAAAGTTTAGATTTTTCATTTCCTCAGGGTCCTTGGTTAACTCCACAAATGTCACAGTGAGTTTCAGCAGTGCTGGGATAGGGAAGCTGGGAGCCAAACACTCATAGAGTGTCGTACAACGTTTGTTGGAAGTTAAAAATCCAGTCAGGAAATACAGGTCTTTCAGGGGAACAAGAACCATAATGAGATACTCAGTGTAAACATGAAACTGGGATGTACACATTGAAAAACTTGGTCTATTTATTAATTTATACATGCATGAAATGCACTTTCTAGATCCACCAAACCTGCTGCTTGAACACCCAGGTCATTCTTCTGCTGCACCAAAGCCTCTCATGGGCCCCACCAAAAATATTTATGAACTTCCCCCAAAAAAAAAGCTTTATTTCCAACACTGCAATAAGCCAATGATACAGCAGGAACAAGTTTGAGAGCTCCTTTGAATCCACCCTTAAAGGGTGGTGTGACCTAATTGAGAATCCAAGTAATTATGCAACAACCTGTGCAAGGCCTTTGGGCCTCCCAGTTTCCCCCTCTACCCAAAATACCTCATTACCTTTGTGCAGATTATAAAGGGATTGAATCTACTACTGATTATTGATATTGAATTTACTGCTGTTGGCAGAAAAAGGTCTTATGAGTCCATCACTTGTATTTAATTTACTAAACTTTTTTTCCTTTGTATGCTCAGGAGTTCAAGTTATTTTATCATAATAAGACTCTGCAAGTACTTGACTGGCACTTGAATTCTCTCAAGCAGCTTTTTGTTCTACTTCTGGACACACAAAAAAAGTCGTATATTATCACCCTAAAAGTCAAACATTTTGGTTATTTCCCATGTTTACTGCCTCATCCCATGACTTCCCACTTCTGTAGTCCATTAAATTCACAGGGGGAAAAAAAAAAAGGCAGAAGGAAAAAATGCCAAGTTGGAATTGCTATTTACCCGTTAAAAACGGGAGCAAAACTAAGTCATGATCACAGCAAAGAGAGATACTGTAACTCAGCAACTCGCCCTACAGTTCCCAGCTCAATAGTCAGCGTGGGACACCTCACTTTAAAGGTGCCTGAAGCCATTAACACGGGCTACATAAACCCAGCAAGAAAAATTAACATTTAATTGCTCGCTCAGCAAACAGAGAGCGCAGCGAAGTGTCTGTGAAACGTTCAGTGCTGGGCCAACCTTTTGCCCAGTTTCAGCTCTAATTGCAAAAGAAAAACAAATCGGATCTTCAGCCACCAGGCGAGCTTTCCTTGCCTCCCGATAAGAAAGGAGCTCACGGACACTTTGCGTTCATCCTTCTCCACGAGCAGGCGGGATTTCCTGGGAGAGCTCCCACACCCCCCGGACTGTCACATACACGGATCTTTTCCAAGCCCTGCGGTGACACTCAGCTCCCGGGGCTGACACAGCCACACAACCCCCGGGAACGGACACCCTGAACACTCCTGCCCACGCCTACGACTTCATCTTCCCCACAGGGGACCCCCCGGAGCCCCCTCACGGAGCGCGACTCCCCGGGCCGCCCGCCCCGACCGACCCCGGCCGGGCCCGACCTTTGAGCCCGCCCCAGGGCCGCGGGCCCGGCCGCCCCGAGCGGGCGAACACCCGTCCCCGCCGCGGCGGGGATCCCCCGGGGAGGGACGCCCGCACTCACTGGAAGGCGGGCGCGGTGCCCGCCAGGCGCCGGGACTCCCAGGGCTTGGGCGGCGGCGTCGCCGCCATCGCGCCCGCTCGGCTCCGCTTCGGGCGCGCTCGGCTCGGCTTCGGCTCCGCTTCGGGCGCGCTCGGCTCCGCTTCGGCCCCACTCGGCCCCTGTCGGTAGGGCCCGCCCGCCGCCAGGCGTCAGGTGGGAGCGCCGAGCTGTTCGTCCAGCGGCCCTGCGGGCACGACGCCCCGCCGCGCCGGCCGAGCGATGCGCTCTGCGGAGCAGCTGAGTGAGCCTGTGCCGGGCCGCGGAGCGAGCGGTGAGCGAGGGGAGCGGGACCGGGAATGGGATGGGGATGGGAATGGGGATGGGAATGGGAACGGGAACGGCGTCTCCGGCCTGCGAGGGGGTCGGCCATGTGCTGAGCGGGCCCCGTTTGTCCTCATCCCTCCGTCTCAGCCCGTGCGCGGCGCCTCAGTGGGGGGGGGGTAATGGGGTCCCCTCAGCCCTGAGGGGTCGGGGGTCCCGACCTCCCCCAAATCCTGAGGTTTCGGGCTGGAATAGGAGTACTGAGCTGCCCTCCCTCAGATATACTCTGAAAGTGCTGAGCTCCCTCTCCCAGCCTTGAGATGTTGGGCCAGGCTGGGGGTGCTGAACCTCCCGAAAGATTCCACCTCCTTCCCCCTCCTCCTTGCCCCAAAATATCCCCAATATCACCACGTTTGCCCTGATGTGTCAAACAATGCCAATATTTAACTCTCATAAAGGTGAACTGGCAGTTTAACCTAAAAGCCTGTTTGTTCGTGTTTGCTGTTTCTTGCTGAAAGGGGATTTGAGGTTTTCCAGGTAGCCCTTGGATTTTTACAGCTTTCCATAAAGAATCCAAATCCAGGACAAAAAAAATCGTCGAATTAATAACTCTTCCCATGCTGTAGAGGTTTTTCCACGGCTCCAGTATTTCTGTGCCAGGTACTTCTGAGCAGGATTGGATATTAAATTTCAAAGAGACACTGGAGGAAGGATCTGTTAAGGTTTCCCAAGAGCCAAACCACACCAGGTCAGAGGGATCCCCCAAACCCAGAGATAATTGGAGACAGGAGCACTTGGCAGAGGAATGTGCCCTGCACACACAGATTTTCCTGTGGCACCTGTTTATTCCTGCTTTGGGTGACAATGGACTAATTGAACCTGTGGTTATTCCTATGTGCTCCTGAAGTTCCCTCGTGAGCAGCTCACTGGGAATCTCTCATTTTCCATATTTTTCAAAAAATGCTGAGAGTTCTATCCCATTATTACATTTTGGCCTGTTCTAAAGGGCGGAAAAAATGACAGGAAACCAAAGTAGCCATAATATTTTAGGGAGAGAAAAAAGTATTATGAGATTTCTCACAAAAACATGAGTCCCATGTTGGGATGGGAAATAAGAAATCTTTAAAAATTGCAGGGGCTAATGGATAGAAAAGGCTTCCTTGGCCTCTAGGGCTTTTGTGGCAAAAGGGGCTGGCATATGTTGTTTGAGGCTTTTTTTTCCCCCCTGTGATTTTAACACACTGATTCTTTAGGCTCTGCGATTTTTGGGAGGAATTTCCATTTTAAATTGGGCTTAAGATGTCTTAGATCCACCCTCCTTCATTCAGTAAAGGTTAACATGTCATGTAATGCACTTTATCCAACATAAAACTGGGCAGAAGCTCAGCATTCCCTTGTCAGAACTCTTGAATTCAGGTTTTTCTAGGAAAAACCTTGGAAGTACAGAAGCTTTTCCCCTGGTCAGTGGTGGTTTGGGGTTGGTCTTCCACTTCTCTTGTGCCTGTGATTTAAAACAAACACGTATCCTAAACTTTCTTTAGAGGACCAAAAAAAATCCAGCTATTTTAAATCCAGTTAAATTGCTGAACTGTGTTTATTCTAAGCTTTATTTTTTCCTTTTCTTTTTGGAATTTTAGGATTCCCCAGCATGTCTTCACTAGCAGAGAAGGACAGACCAATTGTTCAGCTCTTACTCAACGCTGGCACTTGCCCACGATGTATTTTGAGGTTCTGCTGTGTGGGATCACAGACCCTTTACAGACATCCAGACAAGGTTTGGCCTTTGTATTCCTGGTTAGAATGTGGGAGCACATGGATGCAGTGTCCTTTCCACTACCCTGGAGGAACCAGCTATGCTCCAAGCAGTTTTGCCTCATTCTTCCTTCAGTAGAATTGGTAGTGGGATGCACCTGAAGAATTGCAGGGCACAGGTTAAGGATAAAGCTTCCTTTTTCACTCAGTCAAACACAGTGTCATTACACGTCCTTTTTAGCTGACCTTAGTGCTGAAATTCAGTGTTGTTTTAATTTTTCCTGGCTGTGCATAGTCTTTCTTGCCTTCTTTCTTACGCTTGGAACTCCTCGACTTGGTTTTGGCTCTTTGCTTTTTCTCTGTGTTGGTTCTTTGAGACCTGTCTCAAACATCTCCATTTGCTTGCTCTAATCCCTTCTCTTTATGCTGGTGTCTGTCTTGAACTTTGTTCAAGTTAAGACTCCCCAGCATTCATTTCTAACATTTTTCTTCCCTATCCTTGTCCATTTTCTGTCAGTTATTTGAGGAGTGTTCACTCTGTGTGCCATTTTTTTATTCTTTTGCATCTCTACCTGATTTTCCTGTGAGTTGCAACAACGCAGTAACTGCTGACTTTCTTACTGAAGACATTTTAATAAATCCTTCTTTCTGAACTGTGTCTTTATCTCTTATCCTTCCAGAAATTCAGAGACAAGCAGGTTCTTCTCCCTCCTCACCAGCACATCCTCTTAAGTTCTGAGTTCTTAGGTTCTTACTCTGTGTATTTAATTTCACCCCCAACCTGTATCTGCTCTTATTTTCCTTTTATGCCATACTAACCAGCTCTCTTCCTGGGCTAATGGAGTTAGAGAAATTAAATTCTAATCTAATCCAAATGACAAGAAGGCACTAAATGTCTATTTTCATGGAATAGCAATGAGGCAAAAATAAATGTGTTTCTGCAAGACAGGTCTGGAAAATGTTTTCGCTCTTGGATGGTAAATGAGTCTGTTGAGCAACAGTTTCTCTGGAAATTTCTGTTTTTAGAAAAATGCAGCTTGGAGCTGTTTAATTGTGTCTTCAAGATGTCTTTGGGAATAAATTCCAAGTTGTTAATTACATAAACTAAGGCTCAGCTGGAATGCTTAGCACTGCTTTATGGAATTGTGTTTGTTCGAGAGATAAAAACAACAGAATGATTCCTGTGTTTGTGTTAGGATTTGATGAAGGATTTACAAGACTTCCTGAAAAAGAATCAAGGAGAAGAAGGCACAGTTTGTTTGGAGGTGGTTGACCCACCTTGTAAGAGGATCAGGCTTGAAGACACCGAAGAAGGTCCCGAGGATCTGAACCACAACGGAGCCCTCCCGCGGATTCCTTCGGAGAACGCCGGGAATGCTGCAGTGGAGAGCTGTGCTGGGAAGGTTTGCAACGTGTGTTTGGGAATCCTTCAGGAGTTCTGCGAGGCTGACTTTGTTAAAAGGGTAAATCCCTGTTCTTAGTCTTTTGGGGTCCTTTTTCTGGAGCTTGTCTATGTCGGGGCCCACAGTGTAGAGCTGATGGTTAAAACCCCATGCAATTTTGGGGTGGTTTTTTTTCTTTGAAAGAAAAAAAAAAAACCAAAAGACAAACCAAAACATTTACCTGTTTTGAGTATTTGAAGTGTAGGTGGCACCATCCCACTCCATCCTGCTCCTGGGCAGTGTTTGCACACCTGTAACATCTGTGTTGGTACCAGATTTTCCCCAGGCTTTGTCATAGTGTCAGTTCTTTAAAAAAAACAGCAGTGCAGGTGCAAGGGAATGACTGCAGGGAGCACACTTCCCTAAGAAAAGGATTAACTCATTCATGGTTACATGAATTTAGGAGATAAACCTGAGGTCCCAAGGAAAACCTCAGTGTGAATAGTGACCTCTCTTCACTTTTTTTATGTGACAGGAAAACGAGGAGTCATCAGCTGCTGTTCTCTTAACTCCGTGTTTTTAATACAGCATGAACCTGTCTTTATGAAGGAATAATATTTAGAGAGCCACAGAGGAAGAAGATGTTTTGGTGATACAACAGATTGTGGGTATAATAGAGGAAATGAGAGTTAGGAGAAACATCACCTCTGAGCACTCAGACTGCTCATGTGACAAACTGAAATATCAGCTGGAAAACTCCCACCTGCATTTGAGATGTTTAACAGGGTTTTAATAGGAAAGAATTTGGTTTAATAGCATGAATGTATCTAAAAAATGGGACTAAACAGAAAGCAGAGTATATGGTTTCTGTTGTTGCAGTGCATTATGTTTCTTTTTTGTTGCCATGGGCAGAATATGTATCTTTGTACAGAAACACTTGTTTCTGAGTTACTCTCTTCAGTAGCAAGGGAAGATCTGGCAGAACTTGTTAAGGCACTGCAAAACCTAATTATTTTATATGTAAAGATGCTGATTTCACCTTGAAAGCTCAGAATTCCTCTCTAACATTCCCCAGAATCACTGACATTTTGGATGACTTCTCCATGTGTGTTGGCATCTTTGCCATCAGTTCTCACTGGCCCACTTTAAAATGTTAGATGTGTCTTTGGAATCCTACTTCAAACAGGATTTTTCACAAGGAATTAATGCTGTGGGTACCTGTTTGTTCCTGTCTTGTCCCAGGATCTTAGACATTTTTATTGTCCTAGAATTAATTTATCACTGCCATGAAGGAAGATGCTCAGAGTTGGCTATTCTTGTCTTTGGTCACTGTGATGTAGATTTTTGGACACAGATTTCAATATACAATTGGTCTTGGCTTTAAAATAGTGAATTTGGTTATTTCATAGCCATAAGGGTACAGTTTATTAGTAACTTTTTTCTTAACAGAACAAAGAAGCTTATATTTCACTGAGTGATTAGTGATTACTCTGGTTTGGATGTTCAGCATCTCTCTGAATGTGTGTTAACATGAATTAACAATAATTGAATAAAGAATATCAACTCAGTGCCATTGCTATGGTTTCATATTAAACTCCTTCTCTTCCAGGTGTGCCAAAAAGTTAATTCTGCTGACTACCAGTTCACTAGTTTTGTATTTTCTGTGTCACTCCCCCCCCAGCTCTCTGTTAGGGAGGTAAGTAACTTAAATAACTTCAACACATATTAAACAAAGTAACTGTGGAATGTACAAGCTGGAGGTGGTTTGATTTTTAATTGTTACTGCTTAAAAAAAAAAGCCAAAACCACATGCTGGAAGTGAAATCTGCTCTCCCCTTCCTTGTGGGTGAGTATTATTTTAATTAACAAAGGGTCTGAGTCACTTTGGTTTCCAGTTAGCCCAGGAGTTATTTTACAGCTGAAATCCTGAAAGGAGTTTGTTTAAACCCTCAGTGTATTGTTCCCTTTGGATGCCAGCCCTGTGGATCTTCCAGAGGTGGAACTGCACAGCTGGTGCCTTTCCAGAAATAAATGGTAATTGGTAGTGCAGAATACAACCAGAGGAATTTCAGGATGAACTTTTAAGTGTTCAGCATTTTAAATGATGGGAAAATAAACATTTTAATAATCACCCAGCTTGGGCATTGTTGGAAGTCTAGATTTGTAAATCTGAAGCTGTGAAACTACTGATTTTTATGGCAATTTTAATCAAACTCAAATTGCTTACATTTCATTCATTTAATTACAGTGGATAGTAATAATATGAAAGAGTGTATACCCTGGTAATTTTTTTTAATTGAGAGATAATATTAAGCATAATATAACTTGATCAATAAAGCCCCAATTTTTGCTTAGTTGTCAGATGTTTTACAACGTTCCCCTGCTTTCTGATACGAAAAGATGCAAAAATAGTGTTCTAAAAGGCAACATGTAAATTTTTATGATAGATGCTGTGGCAAGATGTGATAGAAGCTTCAGTGGATATGGCAGAAAGAAATGTAGATTGTCTTGGATTTATATATAAACTTGTGGTGAGGTCTCTTCTGATCCCACACAGTTTGATTGTTAAATAATTACTACATTTTTAGTGGTGATTGGTGCTGTGAGTTCTGGCATTTTGGGCAAATGCCAGCGTGATAGCAATCATACATTCTGCTCCTAAGTCTTCTTGAACATAAGATTCTCTACTTCTCATCTTAAATTGAGCATAATTGGTGTGTTTGCTTCGTCTGCCACCGCCTCTGGTAAAATAAGACCAGAGCAAATCGCTTTATGCTTTCTGGCTGGATGAACTGCCCTTATTGCCATTTGATCTTGTGCTCATCCAATATGTCCAGAAAAGCACTTTCAGGCAAGGTGAGTGTGTGTATGCCACGCTGTGTGTGCCTGGGGTGCTCTGACTTACTCCAGCTTTGTGCCTGGTGGCAGCTGAGATGTTCAAAAGGCACCTGGTGTTTGCCGGGGAGCCTCGGTAGAGGGTGGTGTTGCACTGCAGTTCGGGTGAGGGATGTTCTCACACTGTCCTTGTGTTCAAGCAAACCGACAGTCCTACGGTGCCTGGGACAGCCAAGGGAATAAAAGTTGTGCCGTGGGGGCCAGAAATGAAGAGATGGAGTGAAATGAGTGAGTAGGAAGCTCCCAAACCACATCTGTTCTCTTTGGAAGCAGTTTGGGTTCGACCGGGAGAAGGTTTGCATTAGGAAGTTCCTGCTGTCCCTTCCATTCCATCCCTTCGGTCTTGCCAAGTGCTAAACCAGCTTTTTGTGTGCTCCAACTGCAGGGGTGGAAGTGGATGATGGTGGAGGAAGAACTTTAAAAATCATGGGGGTTTATTTACCACCTGTCTGTTCATCACTTTAAAAAAAAAATTGTTAAAAAAAATAATTGGTAAAAACAGTCCCTGTTCTACAGTTACAGAAAAGCAGCAATATGATATGTCCAAATGTCTGAAAATATCAAAATCAAATATCAAAATATCTCTAAATACTGCCTGTTGAAAAGAGGTTATATGTTAAATCCTGCTTTTAGTTCTTGGAACTGCTCTGTGCAAGAACATGTGGAATCTTATCCTAAAAGGACACCCGAAGACAACCTTCCTCCCACTGCCCTTTGTGACACAGAGATTTTCTCCAACGTATTTTTAACCAAAAAAAATCAGAAACTGCCTTTTAATGTTACCTCCAACTCATTTAATGATGAGAGTTGTCATCCTGCCAAGGATAAAAATGTACTGGAGGAGCTGAAAAAGAGCGGGACATAAAATTTCCATTTGCACGGTATTTGTATCTGGGATGCACAGGAGCCTCTTTCCACAAGCAGGATATTTGCTTGGAATAAATCATAAATACAGGAGTCCCAAGTTTATGTCAGACAGCTCTATTAGAATATGAAGTGAGTGGTGCCCTTCAGAAGGGTGACTGAGCTCTGTGTGTTGCCTCAGTCCTGATCCATCATCCCGGTGCTCGCTCCAAGGACACGGATGCAAATAACATCTGCAGCCATCGCTCCCTGTAGGACTGGCTGTACCTCATCCTGGAATTCCCCATCTCCGAGCTCTTTTCTAATCGAGTGGAACAATGCTGGGGCTGGGATTGCAACTGTTGCCACCGTGATCCCTCAGCCAGCAGCACAATAATATCCTGCAGCTTGGAATCAATACAGTGCCCGAGCTCCTGGATTTCAGGGATGGGTTTGCTGCTCGGCATTGCCCTGCAGGCTTGAGCTCTGTAATGAGCATTTGGCATTTTCAAACCACTCCACAAACATGAAGTAATTAGGAAGTAGAGGGATCTGATCCCCTGCTTCATGTGCAGCTGGGACAAAGTAGAGAGAGGGGGGTTTGGAATTTGGGATCTTTTGGCCCCTGTGCTCTCAGTACCCTCATCTGTCGTGTCCTCTTAATTGAAGGGGAAAAAACTAATTTCTTTAATTCTCTTTCAACTCGGAAGTCAAGAGAGAGGAGGTGAAATTTTAGCAGAGCTGCTCACAGGCAGAAGTTTTGTCTGTGTTATAGTTGTACCCCTGGAAAAAAAATGAAAAGGAGTGAGATGAGCCACCTTCCTGAGCACCAAACCTGCTCTAAATGAAGGTGTGGCCGAGCTTTTTAAGCTGCCGATTTCTAGGCCCCGCTCTGCGGTTGTCAAATTCTCTGGTTCAGACTTATGTTCAAGGAATTTCAAGTGGAAGCTATTTTTGTTTATGGTTTTATCTGGGTTATTATGCAAACAAGATGACAATATGCTGGGAGTGAATCAGCCTTACTCACCCCGTCTGCAGCTGTGGGATAATGAATCACTGGATTGGGGCAAACACAGTTCCATCAGTACAACTGCATTTGTGGGTTTGTGGATCGTGGATCTAACAGGGTTCATGTCCTCTCTCTGCCATCCCTTTTTTTTTAGGGTCCCTTTACCCTTTTAGATGTACCAAAGGAAGGATAAGAGACTTTTGGGTTTTTTTTTTTTGATTGAGTTCCTCTCTCATCATGTAAAAGAGATCTATGGTGTGGTTCCTTCTGTTGTTGCTTCATCGTAGGAAGTTTTGAGGGGATTTTTTCTCTTTTTATTAATTGCTTCTTATTCATTATTAGTGAACTCGAGTGTTTGTACTAAAAGCTCCCTCTGATTTCTGGAATTATTCCTTCAGTCCCATATTCAGCCTGTCTCCTAAGCTAAGTGGTGTGCTTTAAATAAGGGAGCAACTCTCAGACTTTGTAATTACTGTAAGACCAGTTATACCTTTTATTTTGTGTTTTTTATAATGGATGATAACTGAATTTGGGGGTTTATTAATTTCTATGTTAATCAGTTTTCATGTACAATTCATATAGACAATTGCTTTTGCATTTTCTCTGTATGGTAAATAACTAATTACTTAAGCTAATTATGGTAAAAAACTAATTACTTAAGTCTTTTTCTAGAAATGAATTTTTATATTCAGATTTAGATATAAATACATTTAGATTTCTATCAATATATAGATATATATCTATATAAATATTTAATTATGTATTATTATATTTTATTGTATATATTTTCTTATGTCTCTATAGTGTATGATTTATTAATTATATAGATGTAAAATTATATCTATATATTAATATAGATATAAATAGATACAAATGTTTTCTAGATATAATGTTTTTCTACATATAAAGCAAGTTCCAAAGTGAAGCCTGATCTTTGTTTTTTTTAAAGCCAGGTAGGATTTGAGGTGAAGAGCAAAGTGATGTCTTACAGATAAAACAAACACCAGTTCCATCTTTCCGCTTCTGAAGCAAAAGCTACATTAAATTCTTAATACTTCCCTTTTGTCCTGAGTTTTTAAAACAGTTTTCCTCCTCAAATTGTTGGGAGTTTTGAGCCTTAATTTCACTTGCTTTTATTTCTTTTCTCTCTTCTCCCTGGGCGTGGCTGTGACTCCAGAGAGCTGCTTGGCTGGGGGTGAAGCAGGAGATGAGGTGAGTGGTGGCTTTTGGAGCTCCCATCCCACTTCTTCCAGATCTAGGGAAAAGAGAGCCACTCCTACTGTTTCCCAGTGCAGTAGAAATTAAAAACTCCTTAATGCAGAAAATGCTACCCAAGAAATTAATGTTGTAGTTTCGAGGTCAGGACAGTTGCTTTCACATCAAGGTGCTTCTGCTCACACTTGTGGAATATTAGACTCACTTCCTACGTCCTTGGCCAAGATTTTAATTTGCTTTGTACCTTCAAAATGAATCATAAGGAAATTCAGAATTGGGAGGTGCTGTCATTTTATTCATTTTTTAAAATTATTAATTCATTTTTCATCGTCCTTCCTTTTGCTGTCTGACAAGAACTCTTTCTATAGACACCATTTCTCTGTATAAATAACGAGCAGGCAAGAAGTTGATTTTATAGTCCTGAAGTGAATTTTATAGTCCCAATTTACCTGGTGCTTACAAAGAATAAGATGGCAGCTGTTTTTAATGTGGTTTTTATATTTTGATGCGGTTTGACCTTAATTGGTGTTTCTGATCTCTTTTGCTCTGTAAGTTCCCAAACAAGTGGTTTGAAACACATCTCTCTTTCTCACCTCTGGATGAGAAAGACTTTTGCAACTACCAGGAAGCTCTGGCATCAGTTTCCTCCTTTTCCACAGGAAAAAAAAAAAAAAAGAATGTTTTACTTGGCACTAGTTATTTAAGTTCCTCTTGAAATGTTCTATGTCATGTATCTACCTTTGACAGATCCCTGTGCAAGTTATTATTTCTTTGTGATTCAGGAATCTGGGCCTTTCCTTGGAAAAGGATGACATTGTTCAGCTGAAGGAAGCTTATAAGTGGATTATCCACCCCCAGTTGGCAGAAGAGTTGGGTGTTCCTGCTGATGGAAAGGTTTTGTATAAATAAGAAAACACTTTTTTCTCTGTTTTGGGGGGTTTTTTTTCATGTATGTGTGTGTATATATATATATTTATACACTTACACATATGGGGAAAATGAAAATATATCCCTTTTCCTTATTAATAGAGAATAAAGTTGCTTTGCTCTTATAATCACTGTAAGGAGAAGAAGGGGGGGAAATTCTTTTAACCAGAGATCTCCAAGTCAATCCTGAGGGAATACCTGCAATACCCCTAAGCAGGCAGTAGAAATATTTTTCCAAACTGTTTTCAGCTTGCAGATTCTGACTTATATTCTTAAAATATTTCTGAAATGCATTGGCTGAGCATGACACTGAGATCTGCCAGACAAATTCAGAAGCACCAGCATCCTGAATGTTAAAATTTCTGCAAACGTGGCTAAAATTCCTGCTGGGGACAAGGCAGTCTGCAGGTTTTACTTGTCACCAGCCAAAGGGCTGACCCCAGGACTGGACTCTCAGTATTCTTAGTCTTTATGTTGATTTGTCTGCTTGCATAATAATTACAGATTGTCTTTTCCCAGGAGTGCTAATTGAAAGCATCCCTTTTGTCTTAGTGAATCAGAAATCACTCTGAAGGTGATCCAAGAAAAAATAAACTTCTTACCTACCAAGTTGGCAAAAGCTCTCCAACACTTGAGCCCTGAGCCACTGCAGACATCCCTGTGCCATAAAAGTTGCTTTTCCAGGGCTCTTTATCTACAAGGCACTTGAATATTAGCCAATCTTTTCAATAGCCCTCTTGGGGTGTTCTGGTGTCTGAATAACAGAAGTAATGAGTGTTGTTTGCCCAAGGCCAAGGAGGGAATTGGGGGTAGAATTGAGATTACACTGGAGTTCCTGGGCTAGCTGTCAATCCATGAGGACACAACTGCCTTTCCTTGCCCCAAGGCCATCCAGTCATTGCAAAGGAAGCCCCTGACAAAATTTTACCGTGGTGACCTCAGGGTTTTTATCTTTATTCCACACTCTCCCAGAAGGCTGCTGGAGTTTAGTGACCGTAATAGGCTTGGAGCACAGGCTGCCCCTGACTCAGCCCCCCGGTGTGGGGGTGTGCGGGTCACTCCTGGCTCTGAAGTGCTCTCAGACAATCTTTGGTGACTTCAGAAATGCAAATGCTGCTGTGGCAAACGTTTGAAAGTCTTTAGATGGAGAATATATGGGTCATTATCTCTTTTGTCTCTCTCTCTTTACTGTTTTCCTTTTTTTTTTTTTTTGCTTGAGAATATCCTCCCGTTTGTTAAAAAAAAACCCCACTATTACCGCCTTCTCGTTCTTTATTTTCTTTTTTTTTTTTTTAATTTAGAGTTTGTTTGAAGTCAGCGTGGTCTTTGCTCACCCAGAGACAGACGAGGAGTGCCGTTTCCTGTAAGTTTGATATAAATAACAAAAGATCTTTATCTAAATATTGTGCAACGTTGTTGGTTTGGATTTGTTGCAGGTGCAGGTGTTTATAAACTAGGACGGGGCCTGCATCTAAACTTCCTCGTGCCCACAGAAAGTTGCAGAGCTTGAAGTTACATCATCTCTGGTTAATTCAGTGTTCTAATGCCAATAAACAAAGTCATCCAGGATTTTGATTGGAACTGGAAGGAGAACGTTGGGATAAGTTGTCCAGTTTCAGCCCTTTTCAAAGTCATTCCCTGGATCATTTAAAAAAAATAAATTCAAACCACATGAGGGAATCTTTTGAGGTCATGCTTAAGTTTTCCTGCTCTTGTAGGAGACACAGATGGGAGGGAAAGCTTGGAAATGTGTTAATCCAATTTAGCTGGTTGATTAAAACAAACAGAAGTTTTGGCCTGGCCCTGTAGGGCATCTGCTGTACACAAAGAGGCAAAATATTTCTGTGAATTTAGCTGCCACTTCATCTGATTTCTCAAAATCTGTAGTATATTGTGGATAATTAGGTTCACTCTTCCTGTTTGCTGATGCTTCCTGGAAAACCTGAGTTTCACTCAGTTAACTTGCACCTGCTGCAGTTAAAATCTGAGCACAGAAGGAGGTTTGGCAGAGATGTCTCTGTTGAACAGCGAATTAATTTCTTGAGACCCGAGATTCCTTTTGCAGCCTTTATGTATTCCCCTGATTTTGGGGAGGGGGGTGAGGGAATGCTTGCTTGGAGATGGACCAGGCATTAGGAATGATTACCAGTGTTTGCTGAACATCTTTCCTTTCCAGCTTCTTCAACACTGGGCAAAAGAGGGAGAAAACTGTAGTCCCAAACCACAGTTCTAAATAACGGTACCTGCAATCCTGTAAAAACAAGTGTTTCTGGATCCTGCACCCTTTTGTTCTTATTTATTTAGTTTTACTCCATCAGTTCTTGTTCTCTGTAGTGCTCTTCCTTCCTCTGAAACCTCTCCACTCCTATTTCCAGCCCATCCTTCCATCCTTTTTGTGGCATTTCAGAAGGATGGACGTGGAGCACTTTAAGGTGCCAGTGTTAGTGCTGTAGAGGTGAGCGCTGTAAGGAAGCTCCATTCCACATTCCAATTACTCAGGTTTCTTCCCTGTGACCTGACAATATCCCTCTATTTGCCTTCTCTTTTTAGGATACTTAAACAGCAATTAAGGTTTGAGACACTTTCCTGAAGTAACAGCACATTAATTTAATTACAGAGTCATTTCTGAGGTGTCAAGGCATCCCACAAATGTGAGAGGCTGGCTCTGGGCATGTTCTGAGGCAGTGCTTTGGTTTTGATGTAAATATGAGAAATTTGGCAATTGTCACAGTAGTAGTGACACTCTTGGGTTTTATGGAAGCAAAGCAGGACTTTGTCTCAACCTGGAGAACACTTTTGGACGGGATTTCCAAGTATGGCACCTGCAGTTCCTCATGTCTCAAGCTGTTCCCACACAGCTGTGTGAAGAGTAGGTGAGCTGAAATGACCCTTGGTTGCTCATGGAACATTGAACTGGATCTTGCTGGTTCACATTTGGAGATTTATGTTTAAGGGTAAGGCCATCCTGAAATTTTGGAAGAGAGCATTTGTGTTGCACACCGGCCTGGGAAGCCTCAGAGTCCAAAAGAGTTACAGAGGTTTTGAGAAGCACCAGCAAGAAATGATAAATTGGGTTGTAGGTTAGAAAACATCTCTGGCTTCATACATAGAAATCCAGAAATCCTCCTGCCTGCATACATAGAAATCCATTAATAGGAACAGCAACTTCCTCTGCAGTACCAAGAAAAGTGTTTCCCTGACCTGGCTTTCGCTTTCGTGAAACAACCAAGAGTTTCCTTTTGAAGAGGCAAAACACCAATGGTGTTGAACACCTGGGGTTACTTTTTTGGTGGTACATTGAATTTTCCCATCCAGAAGGGGTGGTTTGAGTCTGGAGTTTGTAGTGGGCATTGTGGAAGAGCAGCGAGCACAGATTTCAAGATCGCAGCAAATCTTGCACAGAACGAAAATATTAATCGTGCCCTTTATCGAGAAAGATTGGAAAGGACTGAAAGCTAAACTTGTTGTGTGCTTTTCCACGTGTTTGTGTTGGTCAGGGCAGAAGAGACTTGCACCCTTTTGTCCAGGGATTCTCTCTGGATCAAGCAATGCACATCTTGCACTGTTTGTGGTTTAGGATTAAGTGAATTTTAAACTCTTGGAAGCGAGACCTTGGATATTGGTACAAAACCCATTTCCACGCCGTGTTTGTGAGTCTGTCTGTTTATTTCTTTTTCTTAAGAGTAGCAGCTAATTTTCATTTCTGCATTTAGAGCCACAACCTGTCCAGACTGTTTCAAACCAGCAAAGAACAAACAGGTAAGATCTCACCTTTTCTGTATTTCTTTTTTGACATCCAGAATTTCACAGCAGTGGCTACAACAAAGAACTTACCTGGGTATTCAGTCAGTGTTTAATGTCTGGTTTCCCTTCATCAGAAATCTCTCTAGTTTTCAGCTGTCTGAAAAATAAAGTTGGCTTGCTTCTTTATTCACTTCACATTTCTCACCTTAAGAAAACTGAGAGCTTGGTGCTTTTTTTTGGGTCGTGCATCCTCCAGGCCATAATTTTAGGAATGGTCTCTGTAAATACCTCCGTTAAGATCTAGGAATTTGATTGTCATTGTTAAAAGTAGCATAAAAGATGATCCTCTAGCTCTCTGTGGGTGAAACAGTTCAGATGAGGCACATTGTGAAGATGAGACTCTGCAGCCAAAAGGGAAATACGTGAGCACGCTGCAGTTCCCATGTCCTCTGATGTGACTGAAAGCCATGAAACAGGCAGGATGGTTTTATCCTTGTGCCTCTGGAGGAGGGGAGGGAAGAAAAGGGACCTTGCCACTTGTTGCAGGCCCTGAGCACACACACAATCATTGATGGAAAAGAGGACACGAGGGATAAAAAACCAGTTGGAGAGAAGCCGATGTAAGTAGGACAGTTGATGTGATCAGAGGGAGAACAAGTGACTTCCATCAGAAGCCATTGCAAGGCCTTTTATTCTTCCTGGAGAAGAGTCTACCAACGTTTGGCAGAGGCAGGAACTGAGCCAGGAATTCTGCTGGCTCTACTCCACCTGAGCAATAAATGCAAGTCTTTTTTTTTTTAGAAGGGTTGTATTGTTATAACTCACTGCTTGCTGCATTGCTTCCCTTGAAAAAGGGGCAAATCCCACCTGAGGAGCCAAACCAGAAGGGCCTGGCTGTTAAAACCACACAGGCAGCAAAATGTGGGGGAATCTAAAGCAAAAATGAAGAGCCATCAGAGGTTTGTCCTCACAGAGAAGCTGTGCTTGAAGCTTCAAGGGCTGTGTTAGTCAGAGAAGTGGGGTAAGAACTGGGTTCTGAGGGAAAATTTCTGTGCCATCTGCTCTAGATAGTTATTTAAACCTGCTGCCACTTTAAGGGTTTTCCAGTTCATCTGTTCTATGAGGAAGAGAAGTGCTATTAGCTCTGATTTATGCTTAGAAGGACAAAGAGCAGCTTTCCTGAAGGCACCCAGGAACTCTGTGTTAGAGCAGAGACTTGAATTGTCCCAAACAATGCCCCAGTATTTTCAACTGCTTTCCCCAAATCCCCAGTCCAGTTTGCAGAAAAGACACCATTAAATTGGAAATCCAGCAGCCAGGGGACTGGGAGGAGAGGCTCAGGAACCTGGACTTCTTCATGTGGAAGGTTCTTCTCTTGGCAAGGAGAAAGCTTTTGGGAGGACCCAAATCAACTTTTGAACTTCAGCACCAGATGCCTCCTCAACAGGCTTCTTTGCAGAACTAGCTGCCTGCTGTCACTGAGATAAAAGCTGGGGCTTAACTCTTGAAAAAGGTGATTTAGGTTTCTGGTCATGGATTTAGGATTCTGATTTTAAACCAGTTTGCAAATTTGGGTCTGGGCTCCCAAGTGAAAAAGCTCAACACTGTGTATATTTTAGTGCTTTTTTTCTCCCTTAGGCATATCCTTTCTCTGTTTTTCTTAGTTCTTGACTCATTTTTTTATTTCACTGTGCAGTCTGTTTTCACCAGAATGGCAGTTATAAAAGCCCTAGAGAAGATAAAAGAAGAGGATTTTCTCAAGTAAGTCTATACTGAAACTAGTTCTTAGTATTGTGCTTCTGTATATAATTAGGATGAGGAGGAAAATATTCTGTGGGTAAGTAGAGGTAGGGTGTCTATAAAAGAACTTTTGGTTGTTTATATTCTGATGGTTTACTGGTTAAAATGTGTTTTCTGTTCTTCTTTTAATTAAGGATTATTTTGAACCTTAGAGTTTGTAAGATAAGCAAGACTTCTGCCCATATTTCCAAAAATGTCAGGAGTTGAGTTTTAATTAAACACCAAGAGCTGTAATATGGTAAAAATCACACACAGTGAGAAGCCATCATGTTTTGGTGTTACTAGTAATTTTTTTTACTCTTTTTTTTTTTTAATACAGGCATTTTCCATGTCCCCCAAGTTCACCAAAGAACCCGTGTGATGCTCTGGAAATTCAGTGCAATAACGGTGCAGTTTTTGTGGCTGGTAAGGTGATGAATTTATTTGCTGCTGTGTCATCTTGAACAGAACTTTCTAACACTGCCATGAGAACCAGAGATTCTTCTGTTTGTAAATCCCTGTAATTAAGTGTAAGAGGCAAAGAAACAAATCCAGCTCTATCCAAGAGTGGGTGGGTCTGAAAGGGGAAGGAAATGACAGATCCCCTCTTTATCACCTGCCTGCAGGAGCATCTGCCCTTCTCCCAGGCCTGTGTATAAACAACTTATTTAAACACATGCAAGCAGATTAAAAAAACCCCAACCTGTAATTTAAATCCAACACACTGTGTTTAAAGGGATGATAAAAATCCTGGCTACAGGAAAATGGAAAATGAAAAAAAATGCACAAGTGAGTGGCAGGTTGGTTGATGTTCTACACGTACCCCCTTTTTTTTTTTTTTAATTACTGATTAGACAGATTTTGGGAATTCAAGATACCCAGTTCCTTTTAGCCTTTTCCAAACACACTGTTTTATTTTAGCTTGCTTTGTTGGATGGTTTTATCAGAATCCATCTGTATGAAGAACAAGAGGGTTTGCTTTCTGCATGTCATTTAATATTGGCTTTGTGATTTACAGTTTATATCTTGCTACAACAACAACAACAAATCCAGGCAGGATTTTTTTTAATTTTCAACGAAATAAATCCAAAATGGGATTTATTGAGCACAGAGCAGTTATTTTGTTATTATTAAATGAGACAGGATCTTAATTAGCAAGCACAGTTTCAGAGTTAGCGTTGCCCTCTTGACCTTCCCTTTGGTGTTCAGTGATCACTTCCCACCTCAACTTGGGTTTTTTTTTTTTTTGGAGGATTCAGGAGCTGTCAAACCGAGAAACACCTTCTGTGTTTTTTTTTTTAAAACCTCCCCTTGTTCAGATCAAGAGTTAAAATTCTTATCTTGTTCTCCTTTTTCCATTTTATGGAAGGAGAATTTAGCAGTGAGAAGCTGCCTGTGAAGGGTGAGTCACCTCCTTTCCTTGCCCCAGTGAAACGGTTACTCAGTTTCCCCATTTGTTTGCGTGGCTTTTTCTGCAAGAGGGAAACATCGTTCAAGATAGGAAAATATGATACAACCCCCCCAAAAAACTCGAGGTGTCAGAGGCACAGTGTAAAGCACAGAGCTGCTCTGAGCTCCTCTGCAAGGTTTCACACGAACGAGGCCCTTGCTTTTGGGAATATGTTTCACTTCTTACCAAACCTGTCCATAAAAAAGGCTCCTGTTGGCCATCCAAGGCTTGTTCTTTGGTTGTAGCAGCCCTTGTGCCACAGAGGTGCCATGAGATCAGTCCAAGGATGCCAATCTCTTTACCTTCCTGACGTTCCTCCTAGTTTATCGTGGGGATTTTCTGCTCCTCACGTGGTTTTCCTTGGGTGCCAAAGCATTTTAGTTTGGATTTGTCTCCTTATGCCTTCAGAAAGTGGCAGGACTTGGCTTGGAACCTGAACTGCTCCATACAGGAGGGTTATCCCTGAAGGTGGGACTGCAGCAACAGGCTCTCCAAGCCCACCTTTAAGTGGCTGTGCTGGATACTGGAATTCTCCTGGATGAGGCCACAAGCATTCCGTAGTGCTGCTGGAATTCTCTTCCACAAAACGAGTTTGAGCCTGGAAAGTCATTTCCACAAAGCTCCAATGAAGGTTAAATGGCTTAAAAACTTTTGTCCCTTGGTTTAGAGGGATTACAGCTAACTCAGCTCTTTTTTTACAGGAAGGTACAACAAATATTCCAGGAATTTACCTCAGACCCCCTGGATTATTGATGGGGAGAGGAAGCTGGAATCTTCAGTGGAAGAACTAATTTCAGAGCACCTCATGGCCGAATTCAAAGCAGACAGTAAGTATTTAGGAGATCTCTTACCAGACATATTTTTCATCAGTGCTAGAAGATTTTTTAGAAGAGTTTTCTTAGTACCCACCCACTTAATCCAAGAGTGTGAGGGGAAAAAAGCTATTGTTTCTTTATCCCTCTCTTATCCTTCCAAGTCAAAGCTTGTAAACTTTTTTTTAGCTGTGATCTGTGAGTAATTAGATCCTCTTATCCTGCTAAAGTAGCTCCTCAGTTCATCTGATGATGCAAATACCTTGGTTTCATGTATAGCAGGGTTTTTGCCCACCAACCTTCTGATGGGTTGGTGATTCATAAAATGACTTGTATCAAGGAGGTTTTTTGCCACCAGCATTTTGTAACATCTGCCTGGCTTTCAAGCCCTTCGTGTCTCTTGCCTTGATTCATTTCTTCAGTGCACATAATGCTCATCCAGGGATTATCCAGATGAAATAATCACTGCCCGTTGCTTGTGGAATTAAAAACAACAGAAAGCCCAAGGAGAAATTGCATTAAATATCAGTTTGGAGAACACCCTCCTGCTTCCCTCTCCTCTCCTCCCAGTGGATGTGTTACTCTGGTTGGAGTATCTCATTCAGGCCAAGGAACTGGGAGTGCTCATCAAAAAACTTGTGAATAAACAGTAATATCCCAGATTTGTCCCTGAAGTGTCTGTAAAGGCAACTCTTGGAAGCAGATTTTGCAAACAAGTTTAGAAAGATGTTATTTCACCTTTTAAGCTGCAGAGGGTATTAAAAATGTAAAATAAAAATCTCACCTGCCTTGTTTAAATCTGTTACAGGCTTTAATTTTTCTTCCTCTGGAAGAGAAGATGTGGATGTGAGGACACTAGGAAATGGTAAGGCTTGGAAAATCCCTTGTGAAACACAGAAACTAAGTGGTTGTGTGAGCTGTTTTAATGGATCTTGCTGAATGCTAAGGCAGGCTTTGAAATTTTATCTCAGAAACATTATAGTGCTATTTATATATTTATTCCCAAAGACCAAACGCCGTCTCAGTGGCCTTGGCTGCATGGAAAGGCAGAGCTGGTTGGGAGTATTTGATTTTATTCACTCCCTGCTTTGAAGCCATTTCTGTCAGACTCATTCCTGTCTTGTTTGCTGTTGGATCCTTCTAATTCCCTCACTGTCCCTGTGGAGTAGGGGGAGCCTTATTTTCTTTTTCAACTTGGGTCCTTTGGAAAGGTCAGGCTGCTTTCCAATATGCTGGAGCTGCTGCAGCCAAAGGAGGAGGGCAAGAAAAAGTAAAAATGAGCAATTCCATGTTTCAGTTGCTGTCTGATTGCTGTGGCTCCTGGCATTGCTTGTGCTGGGGATTGTCCCTGGCCCCGAGCAGAGAGAGAACAACTCTGGCAACAGATGTTGAGCTGAGGGAGCAGGGATTTAACATCCTCTTGCACCTGGGCATTGCTGTAGGTGACAGAAAATAAGCTAATTAACTTTTTTCTTATTTTATTTTTTAATTAGCACAGACTTGTACCAGAAGTCTTCTGGGAAGTCATAATTTGCACTCGCTGCCGAAACTGGGCTTTAGTAGCCAAAAAAAAAAAAGTCCCTCATTTCTTCTCCTTCCATCTGATGCCACATCCCTAAACCCACAAGTCCTGTCCCTGTTTGTCTTAACAGCAGCCAGGCTTCACACCTCCCAGCCTTCCTGTGTAAATTCCCGTGTTCATTTAGAACACTCATGTTTTTGTGTTTTATGGCTGTGCCTGATGCCAGGAAGGCCCTTTGCAATCGAGCTGGTGAATCCTCGCAGGATCCACTTCACCGCCGAGGAAATGAAGAGGCTGCAGCAGGTAAATCATTTGCACCTCACAGAGCCCGTGGAGCATGTGCTGCCTCTCCAACCCAGCAGCTCTAACTGGTTCCTTTTGAAAATATCACAGGCAATTAATAACTCTTCAGACAAAATCCAGGTTCGAGACCTGCAGCTCGTCACCAGGTCAGTATTTCCCGGCGCTGCCGAGGGGTTTCAGGGCAACACTTTGGGACTTGTGCAAGTGGTCTTGCTCACAGCCTGGGATAATTATGCTTGTGTTAAGTGAGTCATTAGTTTCTCTTGTGCAGAGAGGCAATTGGTCGTATGAAGGAAGGTGAGGAGGAGAAGACAAAGACCTACAGTGCCTTAATATGGACGGACAAAGCAATCCAGAGGGAAGACATCGCGCTCCTGGATGATATCAAGGTATCAGGAGCTCTTGTTGCTGATTTAAATAGTACCTGTTCTGGTGCCCCAGGGAAGAGTTAAATACTGTTAAATACTATATCTCTTCCTCTGTGTTTGTTTTTTTTTATCAGGGTTTCTCTTGTTGTAGGGACTTCCATACCACCTTTTTTTAACTTCACCACAGTCATCCAAGCAGGACAGCTGCCCAGCTGTTGGCCAGGCCAACAAACACTTTTGTAATGTTCACCTTCCAGGACACCAAATAATCAAAATTAGTGGATGGCAGAGGAGGAAACCTGGCACCTGCACCCCTTCCTTTACCTTACAAATTGTTTTGTGTAAGCAGAAGTGGCAGAGCTTTTGTTCTGCTCTACAGCCGCTCTCCCGCGGCCGCAACAATTCCAAGTTGGAAGTGCCTGTGACAAAGAGTGGTAAGAGGCCTTAGGAAGGCCCAGCACGCTCTGGAATGAGCACTTTCTCCAGATGTTGGGCTGATGGAGAAGTGGGTTCAGCTTTTGTTGTGCTGCACCATTTCCTACAGCTCTTCCCCGTGAACTCCAAGCAAGTGCTCACAGCTCAGGGAGACAACTGTTGGCTTTTCCTGGAGCTTCCCTCAATCCTGAAAAGTTGCCTTTCAAACTGCTGCATCTCCTTTGGGAAGGGAGCGGGGAATGAACTTCTGAAAAGACTGTTCTGAGATCTAATCTCATTTCAGGGGCTTTTTTCCCCTCACTTTTATTTCTAGGGGGTTGGCTGTAGTTTAGACAAAGCATTTTGTGGGTGGGATTTTTTTTTTTTTCCCTGATTTGCCCTGAGGCTCTCAGCGAGCTGCTAAATCCTGGAGTCATTCCAGCAAAGGGCTATGGAGATTTCAAGGTTATTCCTCTGTATTTGTGATTCCATTAGTTTGTGTTCGCGCGAGGCCTCGGAGATGGCTGTCCTTTCTCCTTGGATAAACTTGGAAAAAATGAGTCCTGTCTCAAGCTTACTCAAAAAGATGGGATTGGTTCACAACACTTGTGACTCTCCTACAGTCTGTTCAGTGTGTTGCATTTCACTCTCTCTTGTGGCAGGAATTAAAACTGGACCAGAAGACCCCTCTCCGTGTTCTGCACCGGCGGCCTCTGGCCGTGCGCTGCCGGATCATCCACACCATGAGCTCCGAGTACATCGACGAGCACCATTTCCGCCTGCACCTCAAGACTCAGGCAGGGACGTATCCTTGGCTGCCCTGGCACCAAACAGCTCCTGACTGGAGTCACTTGGCTGCCCTGGCACCAAACAGCTCCTGATTGGAGTCACTGAGATCACAGGAAGTTTCCTGCTCGGATCCCTGCTCTCCAGCAGTTGTGTGTTGCTGCAGGATCTTTGCTTTTATATGGCACAATTCCACACCGAGGTTTTCATTCCGAAATGGCTCCTGTGCGTGTGGAGTTCTGTGCTGACCACTCACAGAATTACAGAGTATTCTTAGTTGGAAGGGACCCACAAGGACTATTGAGTCCAATGCCCTGATAGTTTAAATGCATGTGACAGCCACAGAAATGTCCTGGTTAAAAATACACTTTCTTAATTTAACTGATAACTTCTCACCTTAGAAAATCAGCTTTTCTGCAATATTGAATGCACTTCAATGCAGACTGTGGGTTGCTGCTACTTAAAAGTTAAGAGTTTTGTCATAAAGTCACCCCTCACTTTGGAATAAATCAGAAGATAAAGGTCAGTGGTGCAGTTTTTGGCACTAGAGTCAGAAGCCAGGAATTAGGAGTTCTTTTAAAGCTTAACAAGATGTTAACTAAAAACTGGCTTAAGAGTAAAAAAACCCACCTTTTTTCCCCCCCTTTTGCTTTCTTTGCTGTAAAATCCACCTCTCCTTAGCCAGTGTTTCCAGCTACATTAAGGAATTTGTGCATGGAGACTTTGGAAGAACAAAGCCTAATATTGGGTCCCTCCTGAACAGAACTGCTGACATTCTGGAGCTGGATGTGGAAGTAAGTTGTTTGCTATTTATCCTTCCTGGAAATTACTAAGGGGGTGGAATTTTTGAGGTGCTTTCCATGGAATTGCTCCAAGTGGATCAACATTCCTTAGCACAGTTAATAGAAAAATTAATATTAATGCAAGAATAGTGGTTTGTCCCACACTGCCACACGTGCCGGGCTTCCTCTTCCAAATTTGTGTCAGGGAGGGGTGGGAGGACACATCATGAATTTACAACACTAGTCATCAGCTTATCCTTGCTTAGATTTGGGGACAGGTGATGGTTTTCTACTCAAGCACCACCCAATACCTGAATATTTCTGTGCCATCCATCCACTCGTGGTTTGTTTTCACACCGTGACGGCCCAGCTGCAGGATGGGGAGAAGCTGGAGACAGTTCACATTCCTAACAAACGGTTCTGGGCACTTTGGAAACGCAGCCCAACATCCAGGGATGCTGCAAAAGGAGTTGTGACTCTTTTGATATGTGTAAAATATCAGCTCTGGTGATTTTGCCTTTTTTTTTCCTCCCCTTTCCTAGTCTGTTGACGTCGACTGGCCTCCGACCCTGGATAACTGACTTCCCAAGGGATGAGGAAGCAGCAGCTCATGACCAAACACTGTGCAGTGTTTCAGCCTGGGTGCAAAGGGTTTCCATGGAACACTTGGATCATGTTGATCTGCCAAAGGATACCCTGACTTTGAATCTACTTTGAACACTCTGGACCAGGTAGTGTTGGTTCAGTCTCTGGCCTTACTTTAATTTCTTCCGTGCATAAAAAGATTTTGGGAAGCCAGTGCATTCCTGATAAATTATAGTTAAAGATAACCCTCCCTCACGTCAGATTTCTTTTGAAACTCTTTATATTGGATGCTACAGCTCTCCTTATCTGGATGCAGGTAGCACCGAGTTACCTGAAATCCCAACTCTTTCTGAGCACTGTTCCTGCAGGAAATCCCAAAAGCCAGGGAGACTGAAGCCAGCAGGACAGTGCTGGAGCAAGTCTCCCTGCTGGCTGCTTTTTGGTCAGGGTTAGTTTTAGAGATGGGCAAATTTATCTCGCAAAGGGCAAAAACATTTTTCAGAGGAAACCTTTGCACTTAAAACCAAGTTTTTCTAATTTAAAAACATGGGCGACACTTCCTAGAAACAACAGCTGGGGCCTCGTGAGCCCTCCAGCCTGGCCACAGTCCTCTCCTGGAGCAGGAATTCCCCAGTGAGTCACCATATATAAAAAGATTGGGAACTCCTGGCAGTGGTGCATGATGGGGATCTAAAGAAAAACAGGAATACCAAAGAACCTCAAAGTGCAGGCAGACACAAAACCTACCTGAGGATGTTGGAATCCAGAGACAGGGATTAAAAAGCTTTGATTTAGCAGCATAATACAATTTTTCTAACACCCTCACCTTGGATGGATGCCTGGAAGACTTGAACTTGCCTGGGATAGGGAAGATCTGAGGTTTGTAATTTGCTTATTTTAAATGTTTCCTACTAAGCACCACCTACATCTTTAGGAAGAGTCACTTTTATACCTGCATCATGTTAATCCATTAGGGAAGATGCTTCCCTGAAGTACAGAAGAGAGTTAAACTATCAGCAAGAAATTAAGGTTTGGAATTTAAGGGCTCTTCATTAATTAACATTTTGGAAATAAAGAGCATAATATTTGCCAAGACCAACCACTGCTTGGGGACGGGGAGGACGGCTGGGATGTCTTCCCTTTAATTCAGTGGTGCCAGGACCTCAGACCAGAACAGCTGCATGAGAGCTTGAGCTGGAGGCTCTAAAACTGTTCATGAATACATTTTTAAGGAGCTCCTAAAAAAATCATCTTGAAAAATTCTGCACTGCCTGTGCTGTGCTTTCCTAGCTCTCTGCAACACAAGTAATTCAGAAGCTCCTGTTTTTCTAACACAAAAATAATAGGAGCATGATTCAGGCAGCAATATTATTTTTGGTTTTAATCTTATAGCCAATATGAGCAACAGATTCCAGGAGTAGTTCTCAGATAATAATCTGTAGCCAGACAGGAAGTGTCATGAAGGATGGAAAACTAAAGAAACCGAATTCAGAAAACAAACAAAAAGAGAATTTCAGTCTCACAACTGTGATTTCTTGAAACTCAGAGTGAGCTGAAATATGATTTATAAATTCCATAAACTACAGGGAACAAAAAATGTAAACAAGGCTGTGCATTTTGGCACAACAGGCATGAGAAGAGCTGTTCCAAGGGGGAATGGAGCCAAAGGGGGAAGGAGAAAGGGCTGCTCCTGCTGTAGGTCAAGGACACACAAGGCACTTCCCTCTGCAGCTCCTGCTGCACTTGGGGGTCACGTCCCAAATCCCAGTGCAGATAAACCGGGCTATAAACATTGCCCTCAGTGTGCTGAGGACACAGAGAGGTCCTCCAAAAATTCCCAATCGTGATAAATGTCAAGCCTCCAAATGATGATGCAAATCCCTGCAGCTCTTGGGGCAGTTCCTGGGCAGGGATCATGGGCAAATATGAAACCCCGGGATGTGACCTGGGGGTTTGGACTTTGCTCCAAGGCCAGTTTCCAACAGCAGGTGACAACCCTTGGAACTGTCATGTGAGGAATATTGCAGCAATAATAATGTTCATGGTGGACTTTGGCCTTCACCTTATTTTTACCAGTAAAACACCACCTTGTGAGCACTCAAACTGATGCTTTGAGAGCAAGATTTAATCTTGTGTTTCTCCAACTGGCCACCTCCAATCCCCCTTCCATTTGGGTTTTGCCCAGAGAAAGCTGTACCAGCAGCACAAATGTGCCCAAAGCATCTGTCCCCTCCTCCCCTCTGCCTAAAAGCTCAATGGCTCTGCCACAAAACCTTCCATTGCTTGAGGTTTTGTAGTGGCCACCAGTAACTGGGAGCAGAAAATACCCAAAAAAAGCCCCAGAACGAGCAAGTGATAACCTGCCTTGTTCCCTTTTCCCTGCCTTTCCCGTGGTGAGGGATGTCACAAAGCTGAGGAGGTTGCAGAAGCTGAGCACTTGGTATAACCAGTTTTTTTTAATTACCAAACCAACTCGTTTACAAAGGAAAACAGAACTTTGAAAATATTTAATTATACAGTAAAAACAAATTGTACTATAAAGAGCTTTCTATGAAGTGAGTAAAATGTTTACATTTAATATACTTAAAACTGAGAACTTCAAAAAAAAAAAAAAAGAACTGAATAAACAACACATTTCAAACTTTCTGTGTATTTCTTTGGTCTTCCTATTGCTCAAGACTGCAGAGGAGCTGTGAGGGAAAACTGCTTTAAAACAGGGAGAGTCAATTCATGGCTTTGTGCACCTGGAGTTTGGGGAAGCAGTTTCCCAAACTTCACACATCCTACAGTGTGACTGTCACCTGTGCAATGGGGGGGGTGGATTCCAGCAGCAGCACCGGAGTGCTCCCAACACAAGGCAATGCAGGGAGGGAATCCCATAAACCACAGAGGGGTTCTGGAGCTCCTTCCTTGTATCCAACTCTATGTCTCAAGTGGCTTTTTTTTAGATTTGGGGGTGGTTTTTTGATTTTTTTGTTTTGTTTTGGGTTTTTTTATATCCAAGTGTGCTTTTTTCATTGCTGCTTTCATGGTCTGGTTTTATGTCACCAAATGGTAACAATTCAGACCCTCAAGCCTTATCTGCCCTACAGAACAGATGTATCACCTAAGAAATACTCAGACATTTCTTGCTGTGTTGCTTCTTTAAAAAATAACAGTATAATAAAGTAGCCAAGGCCCAGAGTGTCTTACCCAGCCAGTCACCCCCAGCTGGTGTCATGGAACAGCTCCTGGCTCAGGCTAAGAGGGGAGACTGGGAATCAAGTGGGAGGGAGGAAGTTCTGGTTCCTGATCCAGAGGAGAGAGGAGTGTTTTTAATTGGTACTGACTGAAATGGCTTTAAAGGTCATTAATAAGAGACGAGGCTGCCCAAGGGCTGCCCCTGGCTTTGCCCTCCTGGGAGGGGGTGGTGCTGGGGGGGCAGGATCTGAGCCTTCCTTTGAGCAGTCACTTGCATAGCAGGAAACTGCTGGGATACCTGAGGAAAAAAAGCAAGTAGATACTTGGGCTCAAGAGATTCCCGCCGTGCAAAACGCCACACACACATCACAGCTACACTCACACACAACAACTGCAGAGCAATGACAGCTTCATCCCTAAAGCAACAGGGCTTGGCTTGTAAAACAAGTGCACTCTGGATGAAGTGCAGACTTGCTGTTCCTTCTCCTGTGCAGTGATTTCCTTTACAACAGAGCTGGACTATTTAAAAATTCAAACCTTCCGGTCTTTTTAAATACATCTAACAATGACATAGTCATTAAAAAAAAAATTTCACCAGTCAATTTGCCTTCAAAGCAAATGGAGTGTGGAAAATCAATACATGTACTTGTTTTAGAAGAACAGTATTTATAGAAAGGGGGTGTGAAACCTAAACCTTTCAAGTAGGCTGAGTTGAACTTTAATATCTGTAGATGAGACTGAACTAGAGTGCTCATGTGCAGGTTTGTTTTCCTAATTTCTGTCCTATCAAAAATTGAATTCCTATAGCAAAAAATGGCTGCTTTGAAAGAACTTTAACCCTGTGAAGTATTTGAAATTTTAACCCTTCTGAAGACACCAGCTTTTACAGTCCCCAAAGGCAAGGAAGCTTTAAGTGTTACCATTTCCCTTTACCAACAGCGCCAAAATACACCTAACAAGGTACTTTTAAGGTACAGGACCCCAAACCCTACCCCCACCTCCCCCTTCTTGACGGGCACCACTACGGGCTTAAATAACTTAACTCTTATGGTAACTTAAATAACCTTAAGTTCCATCGTCAAACTTGCACAGCGACATTCTGAGGGAGAAAGCGGGGACTCCAGAAGGGTGAACGACTCCTCTCCACGCGGCGGCACCTTTGGGAAGCTCCGCCCCTCAGGGGTTGTAGCTTTGTAGGATGTTATCGAAGGGGAAGGACTGGTAGAGCTCGCCGTCGCCGTCGTAGAACTGGGCGTCTGCCAGGCCGCCCTGGTGGGCGGTGGAGAGTCTTGGCTCGCCCAGAACCTCCGGGCCTATGAAGTCGTAAACGGGGTCGGCCAAGCCGGGCTGGGAAGCGAATCCCGCGGCGCCGGCCCCGGGCGGGCCCAGCTGCAGCTGCTGCCTGGGAGCGCCTGAGTTCAGCACCACGTTGAACTTGTCGAAGTTGATGCTGGTGCAGTTCATGTCGTCGGTGTCCATGCTGACGATGCCGGAGGCGGCGCCGCCGGGATGAGCCGCGTGCACGGCGCCGCCGCCGGGAACGCTCGGCAGGTCGACGTTCGACGCCGCCGCAACTCCCAGCCCGTTGGTGCTGCTGTAATTCCGGTAAAAGCCCGAATCCTTCTCGTCGGGCCAGTTCACAGGGTCGTGGAAGGTCGGGAGGGAGCCGCTGCCGTGAGCCGGCTGAGGCGCGTCCGCGGAGAAGCTGTTGGGTGGGTGTGTGCCCAGCAGGCCGCTGGCAGAGGAGCTGTGCAGCCAGCACGAGGACAGCCCGTCCTGCTTCCCTGGGCCCACCGGGGCCAGCTGGCTGCAGCCAGGGTACATCTGACCAGCGCTGGCCAGGGATCCCAACCCAGGAATCATCAGCGAGGATGAAAACAGGTTTGGTTCTAATGGAGAGAACGCCAGGTTTAAGGATTTTTTTTTTTAAATTACGAATGGTAACAAGCAAAGAAAACACACTGCAAGGAAACACTCTGTAAGACTGCATTTCCACTTTCACACTTGCTTAGCTGCTCTCTAGGGTGGGCCCCAGATTTGTGGACAGCAGCAGAGAGCTGTGCACCTCACCCCTCTATGACCCCACGCTGAGGGTAATGGCTACAGTTACGTAAAGAACTGATGGGTTTATGTTTGTATAGTCAAAAGTATCAGCATCTTACAGGAAGAAGCCCTCCAGAGATTAGAATTTCAAGCAAAGAGGAGGGCACTGTTTGTTTCCAAGCACTGTGAGACTGTAAGCAAAAGCCTACCTTTTTTAATCATCTTCCCTTCAGGAGTGACAACGGGGAACGGAGTTACTTTGGGCCTCTCTGTTGTGTTTGATCCTGCGATGGAAGAAAGCGTGAGTCCACTCCAAATGTTTGCTCTCATACAAAACAGCTCCATCGAAATGTAAGTTCCCTCAACAAGAAAAAAAAGGCAAATATTTTCCTTACCACAGTCCTGCATGAGCTTTTGCAAAGCCAACGTTGATCTTTGCCTTTTTGCCTTGTTGCCATATGGATCTACGGAGAAAGGAGTGGAAGGGGAAAGTGTTACCGTTCTCTTGGATACAGCGTGTAAAGGAAGTTCCTAGAGGCACCAAGGTGCAGAGAGATACATTTAAAGAGAAATATTTCAAGCATGGCAGCACTGACAAACCATGACAGTGTTATGAACAGTGATTCTTGACACTTTTACTGAAAGAGGGAACAAACTGACTGTTGTTACTTTTAAAATCCAAAACACTGCTTCGCATAAGCTGTAGAATTTTTACTAATTAAGCGACTACCTCGAGTTCTGCACTGATAATTGCTTTTCGGAAACACAGCTAATTGGGACCATACCCTTCTCATCTGGTAGGTATCTGAAATCCATAGGCTCACTGACTTCCTGGTCGGAAGGTCTGCGGAGCTGCATCTTCACCGTGACGGGCTCGGTGATGTCCTTGAGGAACGGGGGCGTCCGGAACACGATCGCGACCTGGCGGTGAACGTCGGCCTGGGAGAAGGAACCCTTGGCCTCCCAGTTGTCCAGGACAAATCTGACCTCTATATCATCTGGTCCATTAGAAACAGAAGATGCTTGTTAAGCTGGGAAACTGAAAACTTCCAGCAGAAAAGGGGAGGAAAGGAAGGAGCCCCACTCAGAGTTCGAGTGCAAAGTGGCTCGACTTTAAAGACACAAGAGCCCTTGAACCCGAAAGCTGCTCTGCCCAGCTATAAAACCCAACCACTCAGGGTGTGTGGTGAAGGGTCTCAGCCCCCCAGCAAGAAGTGGCAGTGTCAGCCACCTGGGACAAAGATTACCTTTCTGAACTTTGTCACACAGCAGAAATATTTCGTCTCCTCCCTTTACGCTCCCACAGTTCTTGTTCACGCGGCAAATTCTCAGCTCTGCGGTGTTGGGAGCTCCTGGAAACAAAGAGGCAAATTTGATGACAAAGAATGACTGTGACTTTGTCACTGTTGGATACAAGGTGCTGGGAGTTAAGGCACATAAAGGGAAGGAACAGCTGGAGGAGTGACACCCTGAAATCCACACACAACAAGTCGCTCCATGAAGGGAATTCAGAAGCAGGGCCTGATATTCCCTGACCCTGCAGCTCTAAGCTGCTGATCTCCAAACAAAAGACACCAGCACAGCTGCGACACTCACACCCCTGACTATTCTGGAGAGGTCTCAAAACACTTCTCCAAATGACGTGGTTGTGCTTGGCCCTGTTGCCCTTCAAGCTGCAGAATAATTCAAAGCAGTGCTTTGAGTGACTGGTTACCTGGTACAGTCACACTTCTCTGGAAACAGCTGGGCTGGCAAGTCATGAAAATTCCCCTCTCTGTAGTTTTATTCACAGAGATATTTGGCCATCCAGCCCCTCCTCTGCTACCCTCTGCAGCTGTCTAAGAACAGGTTTAGGACTGTAATTTCATACCTTTACTCAAGGTAGAGGTTTCACCCCAAAATGCTCACATTTCAACCCCAGACTGTGGCAAAGCATGAGCAGCCCTCAGGATAGCTGTGGATGGAGAGCTGCTTCTCATTGTATATGTCACCATGAACTAACCCCACTGAAGGCTGCACACCACATCCCAACCACCTCATGACTGCAGGCAACTCCAGGGGGATGGAGCCACGGATCTGCCTGGTGGTGCCTGGCCCTGTTCTGGAGCAGCAGCTCCAAATACATTTACAGTGCTTGGAAGGATCCAGCTGGTGCTGCTTTTGCCTCCCCAAAAGCGATCCTCCACAGCACCAGGAGGCTCTGCCACCACAGGCTCCCCATTCCAAACACAGATTAAATACAAAACCAGAGCTCAGGGTGTCACCCTCAAAAAAACCCAAACAAATAAACAAACAAATCTGCTTTAAACTCCCAGTTTGAGTCAATTCCTGCCCAAGTACAGCTACAGAGCAGCACAACACAGACTACACCTAGAGCAGAGTTCCTGGTAGCCTCACACCAATTACGTAGTTACTATCTGCAGTTATTACTATTATTATTATTAGAAGTGGGAGCTGCAGCCTCATGTACTACATGACACACACCACTTCATTTGCTGAATGAATCAGAAACTCTGAAGGGAGAGGAAACCAAACAAAGCCAGAAACAGCCCAGGACCATGTGACTGACAGCGTCATGGTACATTTTTCACAGGAAGGGTAAATTAAGAATTGTGAGGAAAAGGCTAATTTTACCTTTGTTTCACTTCTGTGTGTTTGAATTGCACTTGATATCATAGAATCTCAGAGTGGTTTGGGTTGGAAGGGACCTTGAAGATCATGTCATTCCAACCCCCCTGCCATGGGCAGGGACACTTCCACTAGACCAGGTTGCTTCAACCTGGCCTTGGACGCTTCCAGGGATGGGGCAGCCACAGCTTCTCTGGGCAATCTCCACCCTCATAGGGAAGGATTTCTTCCTAATATCCAATCTAACCCTGCCCTGTGTCAGTTTGAAGCCATCACCCCTTGTCCTATCACTGCACAACCTTCTGAAAAGTCCCTCTCCAACTCTCCCTTTAGGTCAAATCCCTAAAAAAAAGGAGCTCCGCACCCAAAATCACATCTCTTACAACCAGGGCAGTACAACATGCTGTACCCAAGCTCAGTTCTCAGAAATGGTGAGCTGCTTCATCTGACTCTTCCCAAGAGTTTTGGCGTGGCGAGATTTGCAACTTGGGAAATTTCTGTTCAAAACCAGTGAACATGAAAACCAAGTGAAAACAGGAGGTGCTGTAATGCTGAATTTTAGATACTCACAGGCTCTATCAGTGGGACTGCCTGTGTTATGTCTGTATGATTCTTATTTATCTCTACTATCCAAAGCAGGTGGAGACTACAAAGGATTCGACAGTGAAGAAAACACTGGATTTGAAATGTGCAAGCTGATTTTCAGAGCATCTGAACAGACGTGCAGAAGCTCAAACCTCCCAAGGCAGGACTCTCCATCCTGCTGCATCTGTTCTCCGAAGTTACAACCCGGCTTGACCCAAGGTATGACAGGGCAGGTTTAACAAGAGCGACGTTTTTAAGAGCAACTCAGATGTGAAACCGAGCGACATCGTGTTTGATGACTTGTGGTTGCAGGGGGAAGCAGGGCTTTATTTACGCTGCTGCTACGTTACGTGGAGGGTTCAGGCACCTCCAGTGCTGCCCACGGACACCCACACCAGCACACCCAGTTCCCCCACCACGCACAGCTCTGGCCTTTCACGGCTCCGCAAGGACTGACGTCAGCCCGCGGAGACGGCTGATCGTGATCTGGCACATTGCTAAACGGCATCTGAGGCAGAGCTGCAGGTCCTGCACATCACAAGTTTTATCTCAGCCCCGGGTTACTTCAGCACAAGGCTCCTCAGCAGCACAACGCTCACACAGTCCCAGCTTCTGGATCGTTCTAGGCTCTAAAAATGACAAACCCACCTGGGTTCGCGGCCAACATTTTCATAAGGGTTGCGCTCACACAGCGCAATTCTAACAACTTTTTAAAACACAGATCTCATTTTATTCAGGAGTTTCTGCTGAAATAGGGACTTTAAGTATTTAGCATGGAAATACTTGTGCTACAGAAATAAAAAGCACTGCAGGAAAGTTTTTGAGGATTGAGAGTTCTTTTGCTACTCTGCTCCAGGAGAGAAGCCCAGCACATCCTGAGGACTAAAATCCTCATCTGCAGTGACCTGGCAAAGCCCTACAGACATCCAGTTTTGTGGAAAACAGTGTCAAGAAGGAGGGTTTTATGTACTTCTGCACCCTCCCAGAGCTTGATCCAAGATTCCCCTATTATCCACCTATGCAATGAAACAGCAGCTGACTGGGATACAAAAGGCATATAAAAGCCTTAAGACAGTTTCCCACTCGGATAAATCTCTCAAGTTCCATTCCAGAGCCCTCACAAGGCAAAGGCAAGACTCCTCAAGGGCACAAACAGGCTTTAGAGGACTCCCTTGGAAAACAGACCAGCCTGAAGGCAGCCATCCATCTCACTACTATGACTTAAATCACGTGGCACATCAGGAACGGGCCTTTCCGTGCAGTCATTGCTGCTATCCATGAGTAAGGGCTGAAAACACACCTGTGTGTGAGGCCATGGATGTGACAGCCAATTCTGACTCTGTCTGGCCAACACTTCACCCCAGGATCACATCTGAAGTCGTGCTCACTGTGACCTGCCACGTGTCAAGACACGCACCCGGCAGGCCCAAGCCACAGAAGCGACCCAAAACTGACCCAGACCTGGCATTTCTCATCCCAAGCCAGAGAGGAAAAACAAAGAAGGGCACAAAAAAAATAGACATTTGACTGAGCTGGTACTTACTATTGTCATAGATGGGGTTGGAGATCAAAGGAGGAAGGGCTATGGTGTAGTTGCCGTGCTCGTCCGGGAGGAAGGCTTGGAAGCAGAGGCGGACGACGTTGAGATCGTACTCGTCGATGTTGTGCAGCTGCTCCTCAGGCACTGAACAGCAGAAGGAAGGACAAGACTGAGGATTAGTCATCAGAACCAGCAGCAATTCTCTACCAAACCAGGGATGAATCTCCACTAGTAAAAGAGATGGTGTTGCCCAAGCAAACGTGCCTGTAGTGCCTGCCAATAAATTCCTTGCTCGCAGCAAATGATACAAAACCTTTAAAGCTTCCCCTGCACCAAACAAGGCTCGACTGTCCCGAGTTCTCCAGCTGTTTCTTGCATCTGGTTTCCTCACCTTGCCTGCCAGAGCAGTTTCATGTATCTGTGGTTTAAAAGTCACTCCCTGAATGGGTTTCTCTCCTATTTGTGCATAGTAAAATTTACAAAATCAATGTTGCTACTGAAGAGAAATATTTTGGTACAAAGAAGTATTAGGACCTCGCTGAAGATTTTCTGCAGCAGTGAGAGACTCTGGCTACATGATGTTATTTTCCTCTAAAAACTGAGGTGGAAGAAGAATCAGAAGGCAGTTCCTGGGGCAAGAATGAAGCTGAAACAGCACAAACCACCTCCTCACCCCATCACCATCTGTGTCGCTTCTGTACCTTCTGGTGGAATCATTAGGATATAGTTTTGTAATGCAAGAGGAAAACCCTTCTTGGAAGGGATCTGTTTCCTTGCATGCTCCTCCCAGTGTAAAACACAGCCATACATAACCCAAAGTCAGCATTTCTGTTTTGTTCACTCTTTCCTTACTTTAAATTACGAGTCACAGGACCTGGGTTATCATTACTGAACATTTGCTGTATTCCCAGGAAAAGCAGCCCCCTCCGAATTCAACGCTTTCCTTGAAGGTCTGACATTAAATTATTATGATGACATTCAGTGCTGGCAAAACGAGACACTGACTTAATTTCACTTAAGTGCAAGTACTGATAATTAAAATCATCGCAAGTGTTTCTCTTTCCCAAAACCTTTCTGAGCAGCAGTTCAGCACAGTTTCACACGCCTCACAATTACCCAAAGTGAGCACGTGCCAAGTCACCAGATCACCACCTCTCCATTCACTCCCTCCCCTGCCCTTTCAAAGGCCTCTTGCAAAAATAAAAGATCAAGTGTGGCTGTGACAAGAAGCCTGGGGACCACACTGCAATGATTAGATTGCTTGCTCTGACCTTTTAACATTTATCACTGGCTTGGTCTCCACCCTGCCACGAGTGGGATTCCACAATGCCCACTTGAATGATTTCTTCCTTTTACCTTCTGATAGTGTGAAATAATAAGTGTGATGAGCTCAGAATACTTTCCACTGGCATTTTGAGTCTTTCTGGGGCTCTGAGTATCTCAGTTTCTCCCGGTCTCTACTGCAAAAGGAAATCAAGTCACCTTTCCCCTTTACAAGGCCGTGATCTGCAATATTTCAAGACAAATACACAAAACCAAGCAACAACTGGGTGAATTTCAGAAGTGGTGGGACCCAGGGGAGTTCTGGCACTGAGCACTTGGCAGGCTGGTGCTGACTGTGCTACCAGATACACAAAGTTTTATGATTTAATGCACTCCTGAAAGAGGATCTTCAAAAAAACAGGTTTGGAACAGACTCTGCAGCCTAACTCGGGTTTGACCCGACTCCGCAGCCCAACAGCCTCTTGATACAGCCTGAGCCAGAGAATACAAAAAGAAAGGTGTATTCTCCAGGCTGCTCCTTGAGGAAGGGATATCAGGACAGCAGCTCTAATCCATGTTCTGACATCCTGGGCAGCTCCCAAGGACACCCTGACATCACGGCTTACATTCGTGTGCCACGTTAGCCATCGGTGACCATGAGGATCCTTCCAGAGACACAAGGGGTGCTCAAATTTCAAACCTCTCCACAGTCAAATTGAGCACAGAGATTCCATACCTTTGCCTCAATCTGTAGATGGAAGGCAAGCACAAAATCTGCATCGGGCTTTTGACCCTGAATCAGAAGTGAGGACTTTGTGGTTGTACAACCAAGTCTCTCTCACGCTAAAGGAGCCCCAGCTCTGTGTTTTCCACAGGGAAACGTGCCTCTTCCTCAGAAACAAGTAACAGCAGAATTAGAGTTTAAGAGAACTCTCCAAATGCAAAAATACAGCACTATGGAGAAAATTACCAATGCTGACATTCAAGTGACATCAGTTCCTACGCTACGAACTTGCGCAAATTCCCAATAAATCTGTTTAACACCTGATGTGGGAGAGGAGTGGTGTGCCAAGAATGGCAAGGGACAGAACTGCTGTATACACATTGTATCACAGCAAAACCCACTGCTCCTAATTTGCATGCTTTTATAAATGATTTAATAAAATTCAAAAAATCTGTAGTTTGAAAGAGGAAGTGTTCAGTCGAGAGTGATTCCTCCCGGGCTATTTTTAACCAGACAAGAAGAACATAACAGAGCAAAAAAGAAGAACAAGACAGCTGCAACTCCATCTTGTGATGACATGCTTTAAAAAAACAAAAAACCAACAAAAAAAACAGAGACACCAGATTCCACATTCATATAAAGAGCTTTCATCGATTTCAAAACATTAAAGACAATCATCCAAACAAAATCAAATGTTGTTATTTTGGACAGACATCTAATTCTGCTCCCTCTGAAGTCCATTTGGCAGCAGCCACTACCTTGGAATGGGTGCTGGCTGACACCTTGAGAATATTAAAAGCAAACAAAACCCAGGCAGACAAACACCCTGACTAATGCCTGGAGCACGGCCGGCCGGAGGATGGTCGTGTCATTCCGCGTTATTCCACCAACTTCTGCACAGAAGGACAACAGACGGGGTTAGACCTGACAAACCTGAAGTTATTAAAGTTAGGAAACGCTGTCGAAGATTTTGGGAACGGTATGTACCGGAGGAGAGGAGCAGCCACTCCATCAAGCTCTGCACCAGGAGCTCACTGGAAGCAGTGAAGCAAAATCGTCGCCCGACGCGGTGTGTTGGGGGCAGGTAGAGCAAAAAAAGGCTCCAACATAACACATGAATAAAAAAAAGGGAAGAAATACTCCAGTTTTGGCAAGAGTTCAACTTCCTCTTCTGCCTACTGCTCGCTGTGTGGTACCACACCTTACTTTCTTCACATGAATCCAACCGAAAGGGCTGGAACCCGACCAACAGTCGAGGTACGTTCCTCTGATGGCCCAATCTAATAAAAAAAAATGGCCTTAACCTGGCAGGAATTCTTTTTCTGTAGTTATCTCTGCACACAAGGACTGTTTGTAAGTACAGCTGCTTTACGAGTGGAAGGAAGAGCATTCCAAAGTTACACATAGCAACTCGGACACGTGGAGATCAAAATAATATTTTACAAAATTAAATTCCAAATAGGGAGAATAGTGTCAAAAAATCCATAAGAAACCCAGCAAAAGAAACCCAACCCCACCCACCAAGATTCTGGCAATAGGATTTCCAAAGCAGTACCCGGAGTTACAGTTAAACCCAGGGAGGATTTGCTGTTCATCCAAAAAGGGGCTGCAACAACTGGTGAATCCTTTCATTATAAATCTGTTTACAACTACTCAGAACAAAATGCTGATTCCCCAACTTAAATAATTATCTTGGAAATAATTCCCTAATCCATTATCTGCTAATATGGGAAGAGACTGATACAATCCCAATGGGGGCAGAAAAACATCCCACATGAGCTAAACAGTGAACTTCCAGTGTGACACAGGCAGCTCATGTGACACAGGCATTAAGTTTGGGTTGTCCCTGTCTCCCAGATTTTGGCTCTAAAGTCCAGAGATGCCCTGCTGGGATTCCACTGAGAACTTGCTGGATTTGCCTCTGTAATTCAGAACTGGAGACTTTCTGGGTCCAAACCACCATCATGCAAGTCCAAGTGCGGACACAAAAGAAAGATGCTGATAATATCAGATCTCCTATTTATTCCTATTAATTTCTAGTTATAGTTTTATAGTTTTTTAGTAGTTTATCAGCCTTCAACATCCAGCAAGGCCCATAAAATACCATTTATCTGATGAAATTACTGGGGGATGAAGGGCTCTGATGTTCACCCATAAGGTGATGCTGCAGGGAAAGTGAAAGTTTATTCCGAACACTGAAGAGAAATGATCAAGGGTTTGTTTTTTTGTCTGATAACGTGACACCTGATCAGACAGCAGGTCCCTCACACACAGCCCCCCACTCAGCTAATGATGTCAGAAACCTGGAGTGGGCGGAGCTGGGGGGACTTGAGCATCTCAACTTAACCTGCGTGGAAAATTCCAGGGCAAAGGATGTGGCGTGACACACTCGGGGAGGGCTCTGTGACCTTCCCTTCTTGGTGAGGGGCTGCAGGGGCACGTGAGATGTCAAAGAGAACGACCTCCCACAAAGAAAACCAGCCCGAGATGGCTGGGGAACACACATCATTAATAACCACCATGAGCTGTTCCTCTCTTACGCAGATGAGGGTTTTTAATTTAGGGATACGCTGGGAGCTCAGTTTCGTTTAAGGGATGACACAGAGGTGGTTTGCCCCAAGGGTTTTGCTCCTGGAGTACAAAGATACCCCCCCTGGCCCTGATACCGACTGGGCAGTCTAACTCGGTCCACGCCAAAGGTTTTGCTGCCAAAGGCTGGCTCTGCCCAACCTTTCCAGCGCTGCTCTTAGGCTGGGCTTAGCTCTCATGTGGTGAATCAGATCAAGGAACTGGTCTGGCTCAGAACTATCTTGCCAGAAGGAAAGAGGAAAAGGCTTGTTTTCAGCCAGCTGGTTCCCACGACAGGTAGCCCTGGCACAAGGGAATTGGTGGAAGCGGATGCAGGGAAAGGAAGGGCTGCCTCTTCCAGTGCTGGTGCTGATTTATGCCAGGTTCAAACAGTCAGGGACATGGGCTGCAAGTCACAAGTCCCTCCTGGTGCCTGGGAGGTGCATTTCAGATCCAGCCTACATCCACACTGCAGCCACAGCTGTGCCAGTGGAGCCTTGGGAAGCCCCACAGCAGACAAGAAACACACTGAGCTGCCCAAGTGTTTGACTGGTGTCTCCTGTAGCTGAACTGCACACAGCTCAAAAGG